TTTTTTTTCCTGTCCTTGTCTTTCGCTTTCTCGTCAGCTCATTTAGCGGTAGTATTTCCCCCTTATTTTCTTTCTAAGTGGTAGAAGAAGTGTGGTAGAGGTGATGAGCATATAGGTGCTAGGGAGCTGCCTGCCTGCGCCCTGGGCAATGAAGCAACAACAAACTTTCAAGCGCCGGCTGAAGAAGACGGCGTGTCGAGCTCGCAACTTGGAAGTATGGGTGGTGATGGTGAATGATTGAAAAGTGCTTAATGCAGAGGCAGTTAGTTCACAGCAGGGAGGATGGTGAGATGCACGCAAGCTCTCTGGTACAGGTTGGGCACCTACCTAGCCACCCACCATCACTTAGCCAAACATTTAATCCCAGCCACGCCGCGCAGGGAGCAGGGAAAAGGACAAGAGGGGGGAAAACGAAAAGGGAGGATAAAAGATTCAATTAATTCATCGCTAGAAGTATGGCCTCGGCCACAAATGCTATGCCAACCATCCCATCCACCCATCGTCATCATCATCGACCAACGCGAAGACACCTCTGCGCCGCACCTTGGGTGCTCCTCCCAACCTAACCTAACCTAACCCCACATGGCGTCCTTGCCCCTCGCGCCCCCGTGCACGTTCGGCGGCGTCGTCAGCGTGTAGCTCCAAGCCTCGTCGCCGTCGACAAACAGCCGGTACGTGAGCATGCTCTGCTCGCTCGCCGCGGGGCTCGTGATCTCAATGGCGCCGAACTTGGAGTTGCCGTCTGGGATGTACCTGTTGGTCGCGGAGCGTCAGTACTTACTGCATGCATCTTGTGATTTCGCTGGTCGAGGAAAGGAGGAAGAAAGAACTTGAAATGGTTGTTGGATGAGACTTACTTGATGCAGACGTCCTCATCGTCCCCCGCGTAGGTCCGCACCGGCAGGTAGAACATGCTCAGCGGGCTGGTGCTGAACTCGTGCACCGTCGCGCTCAGCGGCCATTTGCTGTCCTTGGGCGGCGGGAAACTGGTCGCGGCGAACTCGTGCCTGTCGCCGCTGAGGACGATGATGCCAACTCCGCCCGCGAGCCCCACGTCCCACATCGCTTCTAGGATCTTCTTACGTTCGGCCAGATAACCGCCCCAGGTGTCCAGTTTCGAGGGTCCGTGTCGCCAGTTCTTGGTGAACGGAATGCTCGAAACGACGACCTTCCAGCGAATACCTGGCTTGGCTGGCTCTTTGAGGAATTCGAGGAGATCATTCAGTTGCTCAGGGCCGAGCATGGTCTTACTCTCGTCCCATGTGTCCTTTTCACGCTCCGGGTTCCTGTAGCGGCGCGTGTCCATCAGGAAGAATGACGCAGGACCTTGAGTGAACTGGAAATACGTGTCGCCTGTTCTCACAGCAGGTGGATTTGCTGCCACTTGGTAGTGTCTCCAAGGTTCGTACGCTGCTTCGAAAACACCGGTAGTGTTCTGATCCCAATCGTTCTGGATTTCGTGATCGTCGAGCACGTGGATCCAGGGCAGGTTCTCCGAGACTGACGGCCACTCGGGCGCAGCGTAGACCTGACGATACTCACGGCGGTAGTCCTCCTGGTCTCTGCCGTGGCGGACAGGCACATCCACGTAAATGAAGTCGCCAAGGAACAGCATGAAATGAGCGCCCAATTTATCAATCCACTTTGCAAGATGGTTGAAGCCGGGGATACTGAGTGGGTCCTGGAAGGGGTTGTAGGGAACACGAGGCTTGATGCAGCTCGAATGCAGGAAGGTGTATTTGCCCTCATGTTGCGCACGAGTAGAGATGCGACCAGGTGGTGGGGCCGTGATAAAATAACCACGTTGGTTGTTAGAAACGGCGTATTGGTATTTGGTGTCGGGCTTGAGTTGAGTTATCTCCACCGCTGCAGTAAAATCAGTCTCCTCAGTAAGCCAATTGATGTTTTGGGCATGCTTCCAAGCGGTGTCCTGCTGGCGATGGCCAGAGCTGAGCGACAGGGGAGGGTCCGCATAGCGGTAAGAGACAAACAGCGGCAACTGGTTCAGGCTTGGTTCCCGCACCAGAATTTTCGCGCTCCTGTCCGAGACATATCCCACCCTCGCAAAAGACAGATCGTGCGCAGGGTGCAGCAGGCGTGCGCGGAATATCAGGTCCAACATCATGCCTACAAGGGCAATGTTGATGGCGAAAGTGATCCAACTCCATAATGCCGAGGTGGGGCTTGGGAGTCCTGTGAGGAGCGTCTTGAGGACCTGCGGCCCTTTGTCTTCAACTACGAGCGTCTCTTCGACGTCGAGCTCCTCCAAGGGCCCATCTTCCGCGCCCTCGACCAGTTCGGCCTCATCATCGTCATCCTGCGCAACTGTTTCCTTCACAATCACATCGATCTCGTCCGAAACGACCTTGTACGGCGATGTCTCCTGGAAGCTATAGAAGAACGACACGATGTAGACGGCTAAGGAGGTCGCTACAGCGGGCGGACAGATCTATTGGATGCTTGTAAGCTACGGCTGAGGCGGAAGCGGTGAGGGAACGCACGCTCGAAGGTATCTGTTAGGTCGTGTCAGCAGTGTGCATGCCGGGCGCATATGCAGGAGACGTACCCATCGCAAGAAGACGTAGACGAAGAAGCGAAGAAGTATCGAGCTTGACGCTGTGACGATATCAGCAGTAGATGCCATGGCCCGTTGCAGTGCAGAACATGCCGGGGGTTGTGTAGTATGTAAGGGCTGGAGTGGTGCGTTGGAGCTTGGGCGTGTGGAGACGGCGGGAGCTCCATCCATTCACATGCAAAGCCAGTCAGAGTGACGACATGAAACGCGAGTCAGACGCGTCCACTCCGAACACCATCAATTCTAATCACCACTTCAACGTCAATTAAATCGGAGAGAAGACGCTCTATTATTTATTGCCGTTGCCATCACCCCAGTAGGTACAATGACAACCGTCGAGCATCCCTTCCATCCCTCCACAGCGCTGGTAACTCCTCACTGGAGCACGCTTAGGGTTCTATCGTATAACATCCTCCGCTTGTCGATCCAGTGCCAGGTAGGTAGCTGATTTACATGATGACACAGCCAGGCTTGTCGGGACGAATAATTGCTCTGATCATGGTTGCGATTTGGTGGTCGTAGTAAACGAGTGTATTGAGTGTGTGTTGCTTTGCTTAGCGGGGTGACGAGTTAGTGGAGGAGGGAAAAGATATTATATAGACTTAATGGGTACGTTTATGGGAGCGGAACAATACCAAGGGAGTGACAATAGCAGTGGCAAGTCGAGATCGATGGGCTTTGTTGGTAATTATACACACCGCACAATATCAACTCCAATTTATCATTTTGCAGACAAAGAGATGCGCGCAATTTCAGACTTTGGAAGAGTTAGCATCGAATATTGTGGAGAGGGGGCTAGGCAAATAAAGAGCATCCCATTAAGAGGAACCAAGATCCATCGTACCCTCTAGCTAAACTGTTGACCTAGAGGGAAATTTCGACTCTTCACGAAATAACATTGGATCAAAGAAATCCTTATTTGGCCTTTATAATTCCCGCGTACTAAGCATTTTACACAGGTAGACACATTAGAAGGTTGGATAAGAAAGATATCTCCACGGTAACCACTAAATATTTTGAATTCCATATGTAAAAATTTTTACCGTAACATCATTAATATATAAAACATCTCCTCTCAAACCAGAGAAGCACTTAGATGCTCGTCCTCTTCACCCGGCTGACTGTCTGGTTCGACGCCGGAGCCGTAACATTACCGACATCATAGTGGTCCCAGGTGCTTTGAATCTCCCACACACCAATACGCACCTCAGCGCCAGCAGGAAGGTCGCCGGCCGCAAACGTGAGCAGCGACAGGGGCTCGGTAGGAAAGAAAAGCGCTGTGGCGCTGTAGATGCCACCGTCGAGGAAGACCTCAATAATGCTGCGGTCAATAGCGCCGGAGAGGGTCCACGTGCCATCCTCGCTCAGCAGCTGCGAGACCGAGAACTTGTCGGTGAAGAACGGGTTGTCGAAGCCGCGAGTCTCGCCGCGGTCAAGGAAGAAGGGGTTGTCGCCGCCGAAGAAGTAGCCCCCAGAGATGCTCTCGCCGGAGACAGGGCTCAGGAAAGTGAAGTTGAGGGTGGCGGTTGCACTGGCGCCAGCGACACCAGTCACGTTGGCTTCGAAGTAGACGGCGTTGGACGACACGTTAGAGTAGTCGACAGCGAGCGTGCCGTTGCCCAGGTTGTCCGACGAGCCGATCTGCGAGCCGAGAACCGGGCTGATGTCGTACGGAATGGAGACCATGTCCCAACCCACGCGAGGGATCTGAGTCAAGTAGTTGCGGCGCGGCAGGCTCATGGCGGAGCGCCAGCCCTCCGAGGCCGTGGGTACCACCTGTGTGTACTGCCAGTTGCTGGCCCACGCGATCGAAATGGCGTCCTCACCATCAGGGGTGCCGTAGAAGAATTGTCCGGCGTAGTTGTCCTTGCCGAAGTCGGCAATGCGCGCAGCGTCGTCGACCGCCTCAAAGTGCGTCCCGTTGAACGTGCCCGGGAAGTACTGCATGATGGAGCCACCGAGCGGCGCGCCAGGGTTGATGCTGATGGCCAGCACGTACATGCTCTCGTCCGTGCCGTGGACCGGCATCTTTACCAGGTTCGGACATTCGTATTGCAGGCCCAGCAGGCCGTAGTGTGAGAAGTTAGACGCGTGGGTCCAGGTCTTCAGGTCCGGCGAGGTGTAGACACTGATGACAAACTCTTGCGAGAAGGCTGCTACCAGGACCCAGTGGTCCTCGTACCAGATGACCTTGGGGTCGCGGAACTGCGTCGTGTTGCTGTCGATGACCGGGTTGCCCTCATAGGGCGTGAAGGTGTAGCCACCATCGTGCGAGTAGGCAATCTCTTGGGTTTGAGCGTCGGGCGAGTTCAGCGTGTAGATAGCGACGACGCCATTGTCCTGATCGGGGAAGAAGCCGGAAGTGTTGTTCACATCGACCACAGCGGATCCACTGAAAATGTTTGAGGTGTTGTCGGGCGGGAAGATGGCAATGGGCTGGTTCTCCCAGTGGTAGAGGTCTCGGCTCGTGGCGTGGCCCCAGTGCTGGTTCCCTGCAACGAGAGCGGTGGGGTTGTCTGCAGGGAGGTCAGTTGTTAGACTACTGGTGCTGGCCAATCGGCGGTCCGGGAGCTACCAACATTGGTAATAGAGGTGGTAAGTGCCATTGGCGTCGACAAACATGCCATTGGGGTCGTTCATGAAACCCTAAGCCACACTGTCAGTGCCGGATTCATCCAGCATGGTAGGGCGAGAGCTTACCTGCGGCGGCGAGTAGTGTGCCTGTGGCCTATATACACCGGCGTAGTCACCCGGAATGGGAGTACCGCTGGGCACACCAGGGCCAACATAGACAGAAGGAGTGCCCTGGGCACTCACGGCGCCGGCGAGTGCTGCGCCAAGGGCGAAACCAGCAGCGGTCTTCATGGTTGTGGCAACAGAGGACTGAAGAATTGGACCAGAGGGAGGTAGCGGGAGAATTGGCTGGTTGGAGAGCCAGTCGACTTAGGAAGCCAGGCCATTATATAGTCGTCGTCCAGCATAGGTAGCTGCCGCCGAGCGGACTGCGGACACGGCCTGGTCAACCGCACAGCCCGGAGACATCATCACACCCTCTAGGCGCTCCCAAAACCTGACCGGCCCCGTGCACAAGAGGCGGCGCCGAGAAGCAACCCCGGTGCACCAAAGCAGAGTCCCCCGTCCACCACGTCGACGTCCGCCTCCAGCACCGCGCCGCCGCAAAGCCGCACCCAAATTTAAAAAAAAATCAAAAAACAATCGGCGGCTGGCACCTTCCAAAACTGCCGCTCACTAACAGATGGACGCATCTCGTTTGGCTGGGCTGGCGGGCGCCGCTGCCATCATGGCGACGGCAGATCTGCGTAGCGACGTCGTTTCCCGCGCGGGGTAGGTGCAAGGTAACTAGACGACTCGAATCGAAGAGAATCATCATGCTACCCAACTGTACCCGAGCTCCACAGAAACCCGCCCGGCCAGACTCCCCTTGCCTCCTCCCAAGCTCTCGACCTCTTTTGACCGTGACGCCATGGCCTCCTCCCCCTCTCCACGCTTGGCTCCAGTGTGTGAAGGGCCCAGCGGATCGCGCTCAGCGCAGGAAAAAAGGGACTTCCCTGTCATCAGATCACCAACCACACCTCTCACACACACACACACTCTCTCTCCCCCCTCTCATGCTCCTCCTAATCATTGCTATCCACTTCTAATCAGATTCTGCCGCCGCCTGCACTCTGCAGCACTTTGCACGTCGCACGAGACAGCAGAGCCGCAATTCCCGCAATTTCCCAGACCCCAGCCGAACTCCCCGGTCAGGCGCGCCTTCCTTCTCCTCGTCTCTCCAACATCACACCTCTCCGCCCAACCAACGGCCGGCCGCATCCGCCGCCCCACCGCCTTTCACCGTCGCCCGTCAGGCAAACCATGGAGAGCCCATTAGCAAAGCAAGTCAAAGCCTCGGGGGCCCCGGAGTCGGCTTAGCGAGGCGCCGCAGAGGAGCCGCCGCGGCACCTGGCGCATGTGGAGCGCTGCGCGGCCGATGCCGTCCCTCCTGCCCTTGGCATCTGATGTGACATGGCCTGCCTTGCGGGGCTGTCACGATCTGGGCAAGGAAGCACGGGGCGGCCTGCTGATTGCTTGGCTTGCCCTGCCATCTGTGGTTTCTGGGGTTGTCGAACGATATTGCTTTTTGCATTGCTGTCCCTTATACCGAGTCCTCCACACCCGTCCTCGCGGTGCTCTGGTTCCGGTTTTCCTCGCTCCGAGTTACACGCGCGCCGTCTTTTGACGACGGAGAGTCTTGTTGTCGCCGCGTGCTATGTGCCGTTCTGCTCCATACTACCACTACCTACCCCTGCCTCCACCCAGGAATTCGCCGCCACATCTCCCGCACGCGCGCCGTTTCTTCAAGCGATGATCGCTCTCTGGCGGAGAACCTATGGACTCAAATGTCGGAGCCCTCTGTTGAATGCAACCCTGCCATGTTTGATTGTGTCGGGAGTCCTACTTGATTAGTAGGTGAGTTACGATGGTTCTTATGACCTCCAATATTGTATTGCGGAGAGAACTTGGAAGCGCTGCCCAGTTCTTCGGGACGGACATCTTTCGAGTACGGAAATATCCATCCATCTCACCCCACTCATGCATGCATGCATGCATGCAATGCCTATGCCAAATGCATGCGGCATGCTTGCTCGCCCTTTGGGAATCGGCGCTCGGAGCATCCAGCATCGGCTCTTCGAACACGAGAACCGGAGAACCGATCCCGACTTCTTCGGAGGAACCTGTAGTGCCCGTCCTTCTTCGGAGTAACCTATCCCTGTATCTCGTTGTTTCGCCGGAGTAACCTGTCCTAGTACCTCACCTTTTTCTCCGGACCTAGCAATCTGCCTCTACATCTCACCTTTTCTGTCGTCACAACTACGGGTTACCCCATCCCCACAAAGGTCACGATGGAAGTCGTCTGATACTGCTTCTTTCATTATGTTGCACTTTAGCTCGCTAGATCCACATCACGTTCTGCATACGAAAAAATTGCCCCCACGGAAACCGGCAGAGCTGACATCTCTTTCCTCATCTCATCTTCGATCAGTGCCTCTCTTCCTGTTTCCGCGGCATTAAGTCAAGAAGGTAGGCGGCAAATCGGGTCCTAAAGAGAGCAGTGATGTCAGCTTCTTGTTGGTTATCGACGAATCGTCAACGCGCGGGATACTAACCCCATACGTGGAGGTTGTCCGGCGCAGCAAGCGTGTTGTTTGTCGGCTCAGTGTTATCTAACAAGTCGCCATCGGCATAGTGTTCCAGGACAAAGCGGGCCGGATCGAACCTGTCAAGCAAAAAGGAGTCAGCCATCTATGATGACAATCCAAGCCTCGATACGGACTCATCGGACCCTCCTTGGGTTCAGGGACAAGACTTACCAGTAATCGAAAATCTGGCTTCCCATGATATGCCGGCCAACTCCCCAGCAGTTTTCATACCCCTTGTGCCGCAACCAGTCGTGGCCGAGCACCTGGGTGTCGAAGTCGTGCGTCTCAAAGGAAGAGTGGTGCACGTGTGGGGCCTTTTCTCCCTCGAAGAAGAAGAAGCAGTGATGGTCCACGAGCTCCTTGCCCCGGTCGAGCCGGTAGAAGACAGTGACATTGACACCGGCGTCATTATGGATGAGCTATGGTTGTTGTCAACGGATGGAGGCAAAATACACGGAATCACAAGCCATGGCAGTAGAGAATCAATGGAAGCTTGCGCTTACCTCACTAGAGAAGAAATTGAAATACTTCAAATAAAAGTCATGAGCCTTTGCAAAGTTTGTCACGCACAACCCGAAATGGCCCAGTTTATGCACCGGCGCCGGCTTCTTCTCGAAACGCTGCGTCTTGCCCACCGGTCTCTTCTTGTCTGTCGGGAAGTTATACTGCAGCTGCGGCAACGCCTTCTCATCGTCGGCCAGACTTTGTCCGTACACCAGATGGAACGGCACGCCATCAACCGGCTCCTTGAACGTCACGCACTTGCCGCCGCCGGGCGCCTCGCTCAACTCATATACCTGGCTCGCGTCCGGCAGCACCTTGGCCGCATATTCCAGCTCTTCTTCCGACTCGACGACGAAGGCGGCGCCGCCAAACTCGTCTTTGTCGCTCTTGACTATGCAGTATACGTATGGCTCGCGCCCGTACCCCCGATAGTATATTTTGTCGTTGGTGCGCTTGCACTCCTGGAAGCCGAAGTCGATGGCGAACTGGTGCGCAGCGTCGACGTCTTTGTGCTTGTAGTAAACGTGTGCAATGCGCACGAGCTGGATCTTTCGGTCGGGCGTGGGGTTCGAAAGAGCCATGGTGGTTTCGGTGTGTCGAGTAAAAGGCGTTTACGGGCCACGGGCGGTATTGTACAAAAGGTCGGGGTCGGGGGTAGGAGCTAGTCGGTTTGAAGGACCATGGAGAGGAGAAAGGGAAGACGTGAGGTTGGGATGTTGGCCCCTTGGTGTTATAACCCTGATGTTCATAATGATTGACGCTTGCCGCGAGGCCACGGCAGTTGGTTGTCGGGGAATGGGAGAGGGGGTTGGAGGTGCTAGCGATGATCCCCCAGCGGACCCCACAATTGCCCCTCCTCCCGGGAACTCAGGAACCCCGCACTATTGCGTGCAACACCCAACACCCCATCCTTCTACCGCGATTACAAAACATTCAGGACGTGTCTTTACGCCGAGAGAGCGAGTTCATTGTGCACCGGACAAGAAGCCAATGGGGAATTGCAGCGTCGGTTTTGGGGTGACTCGTGGTGGATCCTGCCACACAGCTATAGCCGAGCTCGTCGTCTGTGCCATTGACGTGGTCCTGCTTTAGAGACATGTAGGAGATGGCTACATGGCCCTGGTGCGCAACTCTCTGTCCAATGCTTCCATGTCGGTGCTTCCCGCTATTCTGCAAAATATTAGCCTGTCGTTATTGTTGTTGCCATTGGCGACGTCGTCGCGTTGCCGCCGTCGCGAACGGGCGACGAATCCAAGTAGCCCGAAGCAGACACGAAAGAGAGATATTTGACTTACGGCTGCACGTCCTTGTTGAAGAGCGAGTAAGCGCTCATCTCGCCCTCTTTTCTCTTTCCCGTATTTGCTATCATCGCCCACAGGATGCCAACAATCAACATCGCTTGGCCGTAGCCGACGGCGGCAGCAATCAGTTGCAAAGCGATGTAAAGCTTGAACTGAAAGGAGCTCTTCAGTCGATTAACTCCGCGCTGCCAAAGGATCTTGGGATCCTTTGAGTTTTGCTCCTCAATGTACTCGTCGAGATGCAGATCGGCCTTCTTGATGTGATACGGCTTCTTCTGCTTCTTCTGCTTGGTGTCCGCCATATTCCTTCCTCGAGAAAGTTAAGGTGTTCCTTCTGGATGTTTGTTCACTGGGTTTGTTGTTACCCGGAGACTTCTCTGCAACCTAGTCGCGCTGAAACTCGTGTTTTTCGCTTCCCGAAACGTGTTCCGATCGTGCGCTCCTCGGCGGCCAACACCTCGTCATCCACTACCTTAACCCTCGAAGACAATCAATACCAAGAGCATACATACGCAAAAGAGCAGATGCCCGTTAAACATTCGCCCGTACACAATATGTCTTTGGGTTCTTCACCACCGTCATGGCCTGTGTCGCGGTGTCGTCTTCGCCGCGCTCCAAACAGATATTAGAGAGCATTTCAGTCCAATGCACTGTTTGGATAAAAGGCAAGAAAAGAAACTAAAATGCAGAACTCGCCAATCGTTTCTAACACATAAGCTCTTCCAAATTCCTTATCAATCCATCCTCAGTTCATCGATTCAACTCTGCTTCCAAATCTCCAGTTTCCGGCCACTACTTTTCGTCATCCTCAGAGTGTTCTTCCGAATCAGACCGTTGCTGCTCGTACTTTTTGCAAAGTATGACGGGTACAGTTCCGGTTACCATGCGACTCGATCCGAAACCCAGCACAGCAGGCGGGCTTTTCGAATCCATACGCATAACAGCGGTATTGTCGCAGTTGCATAGATAGCATCTTTGGTGGCCGCAACTGATGCAAGCTGGAGCGACCACGTGCGGCCCGTCGCCGCATTGATGGCAGTACCACGATCCGGCCATTGGTGCTGAATGCCGACGCAAGACTTTTTGGTATTGATGGCTTCTGCTGCTTTTTGAGAGATAACATGGTAAGCGTTCCGTCAATCTTCAAAGCTATATTGCATTGGAATAGCTAACTTCTTAGATGCGGCTTGATGACCCTGACTTGATGGCTATCTTGTTTGAGCTTCGAGATGAGAGTTCTCTGGCCAGAAAATAATGTAAATCTTGCAGTTCCGGGAGATTGAAGGCACAATGGACCATGACCTGCTGGACTTCTTATACGCGCCGGCAACCCTCTGTCAACCCATGCAATAGCTCAATCTTCCAGGACTGACCGTACCCGGAACCTGGCTCGTCATCTTACTGTGTATCCCTGGTCATCAGTCCATTGCCTACTACACATATCGAACGATCCGGCCGTCAAGAGCATTTCCCAAATTGGTCATTCGCGGCTTGCCGTAAAAGTTCCTATTCCAGGGCCCTGTCCAGCTTGCCGAGCTTTCTGCATGTTGGCATGCCGCAGCGTACGGAAGAAGCATGCTGTCGTCTTACTTGCAAACAAGACATTCACCTATCGGAGCAAACGGGTATCGAGGAGATGTCGGTGCGGTCAGGAACCGTTGACTAGCTTCATACCAGGCAGACCGCACGTTTGTGCGGCGCAGGATGATGGCGCATTTTCTGCAGTCAGCTTTTGGACAGGGGAGATGCGCCATCGTGCATTAATTTCGGTACATGTAATAGGGCCCTTCTATGTCAGGTCCCGGCCATCAGATAAACCAATCTTGCCGCGGATTACGAACGCTACTTCGAGTCCTTCAATCGCTTCTTGGCAATTTCTGTTACCTATAGCATGCAGTTAATCGTAGCAACGGGTAGCAGGGCCAAACAACTCTCGAATTTTTCCTGATCGCTGGACGCTGCCAGGATATCTCCGTACATAGGTGGACGCAAATTCTACCAATAGCATGAGCTATGTACAGTGGAGACAATGGTCTAGCCACAAATCTAAATTGTCGGTAAAGCATTTGATGGAAGAGGTAGGCTAGAATCTCACAACCACACCGCTTCCTTCAGGTCGGTACCAATAGTGTGGTCGGCACCAGGCGAAGCTGCCGCCTTGTTCTGCAGCAAACCCCAGAAATCATCCCTGACTGATCAGCCTTGTCACTCATCCGTCTGTTAGACTATGGGACGGAATCCACCGCCCATCCGGCTCCACGGAAGATCCTCCGTAACGGTAGTTGACCATGCATTCGGGCATTTGCCACATGCGTCTGTAAGCTTTGGTGTATCGAAAGCAGTCTCTACAGCGTAGGGTTTATGTGACAAGGGGTGATTGTAGGCATCAGAACCAGCCAATCTTGTTGCGGCTCTCGACATGTCACAGTAACCTTTCACACCTACTTGACTCACACACTTGACTTACGAAAGCCCTTGCATAGCGACCTTGACTACGGTTGTGTGGGATATACGAAAGTTGCACCTTGAGGGGCCGAGACATCCCTGACCATTACCTCAGAACAGGCGTCAGATCGAGCGGGCATACGGTTGCCGATCGGAGCGTACCGTGCAGTATGTTAATAACCCGCGTCAAGATCTTGAGTCAACATCATCACGTTGTGGCACTTTAAAATACCTGATGCATGCAAGTTCCAAGGCAGCAACCCATCTTTGCATCAGCCGCACGATCCATGTACGGTATGCTTCCGGCTGGAGCGCCCGACTTTGGTTCCGCCTATAGACGGCAAAAAGCTCCAACTTTGGCGCTAAGTGGTTCGCACCTTATGCTGCTTACTTGAGCCTATTACACGGCAGCCCATGAGTTGCATGAGGCTCTTTTCTTAACAGATCTTTCCTCGTTTGGATGAGGCTGAAGGGCGGTAAATTTCAGTTAGCGGTCGACGCGGTACGACGTTCATGACGTTGGGGCTGCCGAAAGCCTGACCGATACACGAGCGACGACCAAATATAACATAGGGTGTCTCAGGCCTTTTGTCAGCTATCACAGAAGAAAGCATGGGACGGGGAGCCTTGTGTCAATAGAGCACTCCTAAGCACTCGGTAAATTCTCACGCATACCGCTTCCGTTGTATCTACAGGTTGCACAGGCGGAGTCTTGCCTCTTGGCAGCTTTGATCTATACCGCGCAAAGCCGGTTTGCCTTGACACAAATACCACAGGGCTCTTTGCAACGAGAAAACCCACGCGGCACGAGGAAACTCCGCGGCTCACCGTCACTGTAGCCACAAAAAACAAAACGTACAGCTGGCTTGTAATAGGCGTGGCGCCTACCCCGTGGCTTCCAGACCGCCCAACCGGGTCTGAAAATGCTCAACGCCTCCATTGGGATATTAGTCGCTACTATTGCACCGTACATAGGCCACAGCGCCTTCTTATGCCTGCTGATTAGCTTGACCTTGCGGTGTGCTGTAGGGTCTTAACGCCACTCAACTCTTCACCAGTTGGCAGCGTACATGCTCATGAGACGTATCTGGCGTATCTCACCGCATGGGCGTTTGGACGTGTTCGACGAATAAAATCCTCTCATGTGCCCTGGCTGTAGCACACACCGGTTCAAGGGCTCATCGGCGGTGTGTGTGATAATATCTATTCCCGCCGGGAAGCTTCTAGGTCCTCTTTTTGCCTCAACACAACCCTTAACCGGTCAGTGTGTCGGTCACACCGGCTACAAAGGGCTTTCTCTGACCCATGGCGGTGATCGACAAGACACAGTGCAGCCAGGGACTTCTAGGCCCACACAATAAGTCAGCTGCGGTTTGGCAATTGACCGTTGACCGCAAGAAGTACTCATCTCCGTCACGCCAGCCGCATTGCCTACAGTCGACTCTAAGCGCCATATCTAAAATCATGTAACAGTACCTCGCAAAGCCATACGGAAGCCGCAACATCTTTCTGGATCAAGAAAATGCACTGAGGCATTTAATAGTAGCAGTAATTACCAACCGCTGCTTAGCGGCGGACACGCCGAAGACCCAGAGCCTCACATGGCTTTACAACCTCTCAGTCCACGGAGGTTACTTCGACGAGGGCCCACTCAAGTCATTTCAAGGGCAATGTAGCCGTACCACATCAATGCCGATGGTGCTGTGTATTATGCATCATTATGAAAGCCATCAGTTGCAACTTCCCTTCGCAAATCTAGGCCTCCTAATCCGCGAGGCGGCCGATGAGCATGTTGTGTTACATTCGCGTTCACTTGCTCATGCGTCAAGTTCGAGCAGCATCCAAGGAACTACCCATCCAAGAACCTGATTCTGCGAGTTAAAGCTCTTCGACCAAGCAATTATAGTCGGCGAAACTTCCAATAGGACTTGCCGCGTTGAACAAGCTACAACTTTGGACTCGACGCCACTGTGGCTGCGTGACGGTGCACCTGCGTTGACGACGATTGGTAGCTGCGTTATTGATCGATAAATTCGGCAGAACAAAGAAGTGTTGCCTCATCTTTCGCACGTAAATCGGTTCAAACAATGTTGACATGTGGTTCTCCTATTGATGCGATTTTGTGCATGTCTCAGGCAGGCATGGCTCACTGTTTGCAAGCATTATGTTATCACGGGTCTTATGTATCAGTTGCACTCCTTTCTCCAAACCATACGGTTCATTCAGCTTCTCTACACCATGCGTATCTAAATCATGCGATGTCCTCGAAGAAAGAGCAGGTCTACCCGTAAATCCATCCGAAACCAAAAAAACACCGTGCGGTGCGCCTTGCAATTCTTCATACTTACCTCTCGAATCCAAACAGCTTAAATAGCCGTGTTTCACCACACTACTTGTAGAGCTGAGCAACATTTTGCTGCCAGCCCTGCAAGAACCCCGACCAAAACATGCTTCTCGAATAGTATACCGCCTGTGCCTCGCGCAGTAGGTCTGGGTTACGGCAGATGTACACTTCAATATCATCTAGGTTTGGGGCCTCCGGATCCGGCGGGCGGCAAAGCACAGCATTCAAAACGGCCTGCAGGATCCTTTTGTCGTCAGAAAAGTTCTCCCACATGACCATGATATCCTCGACTTTAGCGTCCTCGTGCGCAATGTAGTTGCCGCTCTTCAGGTACCGCAAGATGTGGTTCAGGAATGTGGTGCGCTCAATCGGCACAGCCAGCGCCTTCAGCACCTTGTACACTTGCAAGTCTTCGGCCAGAGAGCCCAGAGGCTTGAGCGGCTTTTCGCCGACCGCGCAGATCCACTGCACGACGTACCGCAGTGCCGCCCTACTGACCATACCGGGGATAATCAGCTGCGTTGTGCTGGGCACTATGTAACGCTCTGCCCAGGAGGAGTAAGCAATCAGCGCATCGCGCGGCATCATCACTTGAACGCCCTTCCAGAGGCCGGTGTCAGCGGTGCGGGTTTGCCCGGTCAGGACAATGGGCGCGCTGTCCAGCAGCGCGACACGCTCAATGAGTGGCATGACCTGGAGAACAGAGACCTTGGGGGCCTTGAAGGGGCTGAGGGTATAGTACATACCGTGGTTTGTTTGATTTGACATGTTGTGTAAAACAGTGAGTGACTGTGAAGATAATAGCTAGTGAGTTTGGGTTTTGCTGTGCTATTGCTGTTGCTGTCGCTGTCGCTGTGGTTGATATCCGAATTGTACGGAAACCATGCATACATTCGCGGCAATAACAGTAGATATATAAACCTATGTCTGGCTTACAATGTGTTTTGATGCATTGTCTGGAAGACACTGAGTTGTTCCAAGGTCAACTAACAAAGAATGGGAAACAAAGCAAAACTGTGGTCTAGTCAAAGTTGGTGCAGTCAAGTTCTCATACTCCTGCGGGAAATTTAAACACCTGGGTAATTTCTTACTGGTCACGAGGTCAAGCATTTGATCATTGATTCAGTTACTGTCTGTATAGGTATATACCTATGCATTATCTACAAAGCTCATAGATCCCAGCGCACGGCGTGTTTGATCTCGGCGCCAGTGATGAAACCGCGAATCTTGCTGTACTCCTTGAAGCCATCGGATTCGGCAAACTTGCTGTGCTGGTCGACGTCGTCCCAGCCAGTGAAAAGCACCCATTCCTCCTTGGAGTCCGCCTCCTTCTCGACGCGCCACCCGCCAACGACGTTCTTGGGGCGAGTGAAGTCGACCAAGGGGCGTTTAGCCTGGGCGAACGTGTCAGCAAAGTGGGGGCGCATGTCTCGGGCAACAAAGTGGCGGGCGATAGCCAAAACGGGGGCATCGAGTGGGATGTCGCAAGGCTCGAGTGCGACGTGGAACATGCAGTCAACAGTGAGCTGATCGCGGAGGAGGGTGAGCAGATGCTGGTTGGCGGGCGTGGGGATAAAGTGGTGCAGGTGCTGCTCGGGCGAGTCCCAGGCGCCGATGATGTAGACGAGAGCGGGGTCTTCGAGCTGCGTGTAGAAGTGGAAGGCGTGGCCAGTGAAGGCCTCCATGGTTTGCTTGGCCTTGCGCAGATTGCCTGTGAGCCCGGCGTCGGCGCGCGTTGTGCCGGCCTGCAGACGGAGGAGGGCAAGTTCGGTGACGGGCATGATGGTGATTCAAGGTGGATACAGTAAGGTACCTACCTCTACCTTGGGTATATACCTATCCATGGCTGCGTAAGTCAGACTGTTGCCTTCGGGTCCATGTCGGCTCGCAGGGTCGGGCTTCTCGATCTGGGTGGCACGGGCGTCTGCACGTCGCTGCATTGGCATTCACCCTCCCACCTGGTAATCCCGTCGTACCTTCACGGGCAAAGAGTGGTGGTCGCAGTGGTCTTTCGTGCTTTCTCTTCCTGTCTCTGATACCTAGAGAAGGGCAGGAGGCTTCTTTCAATCGTCTAGGTATTAATATGGCGACTCCTGCACTGCCGCCAACGATATATGATTACAAAAGGGTCTTGGATATTTGTGCGCCCGCTAGCGCCAGTGCCACATCCACATGCCATGGGAACTGACCTTCAAGCGCCTAGAGCATGTCTTCTCTCTAATGGAAAGCGGGACATTTACCATTTCCAAAACGAATCGTAACGCCGTGAAGAAAAAAATCGTAAGGAGAAAAAAGGAACGGTGGCTATCACCGCGGGCAAATGTTCTCGGCGGCGAAAGCCCGGTACCTATCCAAAAGGTCCGTGGACTCAAGTCCACTCCTTTGCGGAAGGAACGTGTAGTGTGACACTATTGCTCTTCCGTCGACCACGGCATCTGCTTTCAAATTAGCTGCTTGTCCTTGTTGAAGGGCAGCGAATGCGGCTTACGTCTTCCGGTTTGCTTCGTCATGACCTCTGTAAAGTGGTATTCATCATCGCCGTTGCCGTGATGGATATCGCTCGCAATGATATCATCACCCCAAATGGCAATCATTTGGATGCCCATGCGCATATAGTAGTAGTCGAGTGTGTGGAACTTGTCTGTACGTTGAAGTCAGCACATGCACCTGATGGAGCCACCGATTCAATTGTCTTTCACTTACATCTCCACAGCTCGTTCTTCTCCAAATTCTCGAGGAAGCTGTAATGCTCTTGCGCCGCAACGCTCCAGTGCCACAAGGCTTGCGAGAAAGCGTCGAAGCTCGTCGACGCAATTGGGGTGTTCTCAAGAGGATAACCCTCGGGCAGCGGCAGCCAACGGTGACCCTCGAAGGGCGGTTCGTATTTCTCCTCGTCGGAGACCGGGACCGTCCAGTCAGGGGGACCAGCCCACGTTGGAAGATCCGAGGCGCGCCACCTGCTGATACTCTCGACTTGTTCAGGCGGCGGAGGCTCCAATTCAGGCAGATACGGCTTTATGGCGCCCATGCGCCAGTGCATCCAACTGAGCGAAGGCTGGTTCACGACGTTCGCCGCGACGACAAAGTATTCGGGGTGATTGAGCTTCTTCTGAACGATTGTAGCAATGGCGTGGTCCTCGATAAACACCTGTTCCCAGTAAGCAAAATGTTCCTTCCCCAAGTTCGCTCGAAGAAAGTGTGAAGCGTACCAGATCATCATCCATCTTGATGTACATTGTCCCATTTTCGCAGACATCATAGGCCGTAGCGTAATCGATCCCTTCAAACTCCAAGTTCACGCGCGTGTATGCCGGCTCCGTCTCAAGCAGCTTATCCAGCCAGGCGAGATGCTCTTCATCTTGAGTACGCGCTAGGAAAATGACCTCGTCCAGGAATCCACCATTGGATGCTAGGTTTCTCTACAATGGCGGCGCAATAAGTTAGCCTATAGTCTTCGGCTTCGGGTGTATGTTCCTGCGCCCCATTCTAGAGATATAGCCGCACACCTTGAGATAGCAGTCTAGGATGCTGACGCTCACGGGGCGCCCAAAGAAGACCAATCCCACGATTCTAAAGTCCTTTGGCTTGGGCCAATTCGTCACGCCTTGCGGCTCTCCTCCGTCATTTATGGACCAATATTTGGGAAGCGTGCGATGAGCGCGGTGAGCACCACCGGTACTGCGCCAATGCCACAGCAGCAGGAGGCAGACACACGAGAGAAAGATGAGGGCATGTCGCGCGGTGAATCGGGAGCGCCTGAAGCCGTTGACGGGTTGATAGCGAGGGACCAGCATGGCTGGCCAGCGTCGCGACGTATGCGAGATGACCGAGGGGTGCGCGGATTCGGGGGAGATGGTTGTCGCCACGCGACTTTGTGGTGGTAGTAGTACTCTAACTATCTGGACAAGTAGGATATTCCTGAGACGGCCGGCGACGCCTGCATCGCGCTTACGTGGTGGGCCTCCGCGCGCGGCAGGGCGCGACAGATCCGAGCGGCTGAGGCGGGGATTCTGGCCTGCTGTCCGCCTGTGCGCCGCCGTGTCATGTCCCCTTAACGCCCCTTGCTGTTCTCTCATGTTCGCCCTTGCATATTGTTCATTCCCTTCCCGCTGCGTCCTCCGTCTCACTCTAGTAGGAATTGTGGACTGCTGGACAATATGAATGAGTATGTATACACCAGAGAACAGACGATCACGTATTCAAGTCGTATTCTCTCCCCTCAACATCGTGTTGATTTCTCACATCATCCATATTTCGTTCTCAAACGAAACTAGATACAACACCTCTAGCGTCGTACATTCCCGGTGACATCGCGTTTTTAGCAGCTGTCATCCGTCCTTCTGTCACCTCCACAACACGATAGCCCATCATATTCCAGCCCTGTACCCCACAACCCACAACCTACCAGGCTCCAGCTCTTTGCACAATGATAGACACCTTCAGAGCTACTTTTTGTCACTGCTTGCCCAGAATCATGCTATTCTGACGTGTTTGTAAATCTGGTTATTATTCGCCGTTCATGGTCGGATGCATCTTGTAGTACACAGAATAAAGTTAAATGGGAAACCGTAACATATTCTGTCAATAGCTTTGAACGTCAGCTACAACTCATATTCTATGGATGGGGATGTTGTAGAGCGAGCTTCTTAGCTCATAGGCAAACTTGAGCTATTCCAACTGAGTATTGATGCTTTTGCAGGACCAGAACGTCATCTGTTTGGATGAAATGCCAATCCTACCTACTAGTATACATCAAGTCCCCAGTTCTCCATTAACCGCGCACATGAAACTTTAATGCGCTCCTGTCGATGCGCACCTCTCACATGTTCAACGAAGCGCCTGCGCCTCAAGAGGCCACGAAGATCCGCGACCTCGTCATCAGAATGAAATGAGAATCAATAATCAAAAAACCTCCAAATATCCAGACGTAGATCTTCTTTTGAGCTCATCTCCGACCGCGACCACGGTCGTAGCCACCTTGTTGCTGCCACTGTCCGTGTCCATTGTGTGGTGATCCGCCATAGCCACTATATTGTGGCTGTCCCCAAGGAGGGTTCGGAGGAAACCCGGGAAAGCCCGCTGTTGGTGGAGAGCCACCCGGCATAGGGTAGCCAATGGGCGGCGGTGGTGGTGGCGGCGATGCGCCGTATGGCGGCAGTTGAGGCGGGTAAGGAGGAGCAAATTGTTGATAGGATCCTTGCTGATTGAACCCATTGGTTGGCGCCATGGGTGGTGGAGGTGGAGGCGGCCATGCTCCATTGTAGCTTGGTTGGGGTGGAGGAGGGGCTGCGCCACCCATGGGAAACCCTGAGAATTGACCAGGAAATGCTTGGGGAGGAGGCGGAGGTGTGGGGAATTGTTGGCCTGGGTAAGCTCCGGGCGGAGTGGGTTGTTGGCGGAATTGTGACTTTTCTGCGGGGCGGTGGAGAGGTCGAACCGAGCGCGGAGGACTATAAGACCTTGATCTTGATCTGTTTCGCGGGGAGAGGCGCCGGTAGTTGCGGTATCCTCCAGGTGAGCGAGAGCGCGACCGCCTGGGCGTCCGAGACCTTGATCCACGACCGCGACTGCGCTCTTGTCCCAGTCCTCCTCGCGGTCTCGAATACGATCGCCTGTCATCCCGCATACGCTTTCCATCCCTGCTCCTGCTACGGCTACGGCTGGGGGACAAGCTGTAGCGCCTTTTGTGAGGGGGTGACCGGCTGCTGCTGCGGCCTCTGCTCAAACTCCTTCTCCTTGCTGGTACTTTGTCATTCGAGTTTGGAGGGCCCTCTTTCATTCTCTTCTTCATCCGCTCACAGAACTCTACGGACCATCCGTAATAGTTTTCCGCTACGTTGAGTTCGCCAGTGACTTCGTCGCGCACCAGTGGCTGACCCATCATGTCCATGTCTGCCACCACATTTTCGTCGTCATTGTAGAGATCCTCTGACCAGCTGATCAAATCTTTCACAGCATTGATGAGAGCTGAATCGGCTGGTCCTCCATCGAGTCGCATCGCCTTCATTTGGCGGGTAGGAATGGGTCTTCGGTCGTTCGGGACCATGTGTGGCAGCATGTTTGCGGCAGGCAATTCATACCAAGGGTCAGATGGATCACCGTGCGTGGCTGGAAGCACGTACGGTACGTCTTTTGGACGCACCTGTGTATCGTTGGTTGTGGTGGAAGCTGTCGGGTCCGCGTCATCGACAGCCTTGTGGAGTTTTCCAAGCTCGATAGCCTTGTAGAAGCCGCGCTTCTCGAATAGGGCCAGGAGATCTCTGATACTTTTATGTAGCTTGACATTCCGGCCGAAGCCGGTCGAGGCAACGGCGCGCACTACGTCCTCGAGGTGCGGTTGAAGGCTGCTGACGAGCCTGCTGTGGACCGAAAAACCAGCGGCGTGGTTCTTGGTGTGGTGATGCAGGTCCGTGACAATATACAGTAGATGGATTCCTTTTCTCTTGTTCGAGGGACCGGCGCGCTTCACGCGCTTTTGAGGCGCCGTGTTTTCGGCATTTGCGAAGCTCTGAGCCAGCACTGCCAAATACTTTCCCAGCTGTGCTATCCGCTTTGGAGAAGGCAGGGTATTCTTGACAAGCCACTCCTTGACTTTCTGTTACGGCGGCTGCACTTTAGCAGGGGGAAAAGCTCGGACAAGATCGTTGAATCAAACCTGGACATTCGAGGGCGAGCACTGTTGGATGGCTGCATCGAGCAGCAAGTGGAATTGCGCAATGTCATGCTGCGATAGAGACGTCGGATCAGCGCGAAGCAAGCCGCTCGCGAGCGACGCTTTTGCGACTGCGAGCTGATGCGCCGCCATAGCGTGAGGTAGCGATGCTGAACTGAAGTCTGCGCAAGTGGAGGTTGCTTGGAGTGTGAGGGCAGGCATGCTGCTGCGCCGCCCGGGGTTCCATTCGCAGGGCTGAGACGGACCGACAATGAGCCGAAACCTGCTGCAAGACATTGCAGACATCTATTTCACTCCTCCTACACATACGAGTACAACCGTTTTCCTTCATCTTCGCATCTATGGATGTGTCAAGTTAAACCCAGGGTACAAAGTCTGGAGAGTCTACCTTCACAATATGCAGGTCTCCGTCTCGAGACCAGCCAGGCCTCGCTCATTGTTTCAGAAACGCAAACAAACTAACAGCACTGCGATTGCGCTTTGGACCATGGCTCCTGACTTCTATATGACTTTGCGGTTTTCTTCGTCGCTTTTTAGACCCATCAAATTCTACCCATTTCCCCTCACAGGCTGACTCCAACCGTTCAATTCACGGCTCAAAGTCCAAAGCAATCTTCTACCCACAGCCAACATGAACAAACCGCACTTGCCATCAATCGACTGGTGGTACCTCCTCTGGACTTCCCTGCATGTCATCGTCCACTACTTTTTGCCCATCGCTTTCTACGTCTGTTTCCTCATCATGGGGACCCTCATGGTCAATGCGTACCAACGCAACGAGCCGATTTCCAAATCCATGGCCCACGCAGTGATTGCGGTACTTGTACTTGTGGGTTCCTTCACTCTCTGCGGGCATGTTGTCCTGCAGTGCCGCAACCTCACCACTCGTCGCAAAAAGGAGAACTTGACTGCTGAAGCGAATCGGATGTATGCTGAAGGTGGGCATCCGCGATCAGGACAGGAAGAGCTTGGAATAACATTACAGCAGCACGAGGAGACACAGCCTGAAAGACAACGTCGAACTTCATCAGCATATCGACATTCTCCATCAACATATCGACATCCTCCATCTTTGATGATCCAATCGCCGCCGCGTCCTAGGTAGCAGCTTGTGCAGCAACTCGGGCAGCATGAAGTAGCTACGCCATCTGAACGGTACGCAGATGACTCATCAGAATAACTGACGCCGCCTCGGTCAATTGCTGAGGTTTGCGAGGTATGATCGTCTACTCGATACTATGTCCGACCAATGAGAAATGAGCATGATCCAGCAAGCATGATGTATGGGACGCATAGATTCCTTTCCTCTTTCAATGCGCATAGATCTCTTTTTCATGGTACTTTCTACTATGAAGGCGTTTTGTCATTGCAGAACCGTTCCCTCACTGGTCCACGATTGATCGTCTATCACAAGTTTCACGTGACTAGACCCGATTTCCACAACCCTCAGCTGATGTTTCCTACCCTAGGTCAATTGGTAAAGTTTAGGAAACCACTCTTGTATATCAACCTATTTCAAGAACAAAGTGAAGCGTGATTAGCTGGAGTCTGATGTGCCGCCATGCCAAGAAAATTAGCCGCCCAGTGCCGCCGAACAGTGGATGAGGCACATCTAGCGATTTTTCACCGCTGAGAGCGTTTCCTCAACTAAAAACTCTGAAATCCAGTACGAGTCTGCCTCACTAAATGGCTGGTAGGTTCTTATGAAGGGTGATGAGCGACGGCGTTCAGCGGCGCGGGCAAACAATCTGGTACCTGCTATTGCTCGCCGTCAGCATCACCATGTATAACGAAAGCGCCGAAGCCTTTTAGCTCGGTGCGTTGTCGATCCTCAAGGCCTACTCTTAAGCGGGTCATGGCACGAGCGGACGACTAAATATAGAGGCATCGACGAATGAGATGGCATGTCTCCACAGTACGGCGGCTAATGCTGTGCCGCACGTTGAAAGTATCAAAAGATGGCGCATTGAAATCGCGTCTGTTTCGCCATTTCTCAAATTCTTCTTTACTTCGTCTGTTGTTTGGTTGTTTCTTTCCTTGTCTTCTTGTACACGTCCATATCGTTTTCTGCATTTTTCATCTTTCTATCGCACTGCGTGCTGATGGATCCTCCACCGTCATATTCCGTTGAACCTCCTGTTATCCGTGGCCCAGACCCTTCTAGGCTGCAGAGCCGCCAAAATGGTATTTGGGACAAACTGTTCAAAAAGAACCCGAAACATAAGAAGAGAGGCCCAATAAGTGGTATGTTGTCCATGAGGATGGCGGATTGTTGAAACACGCTCATACGGAGACAGAAACGAGCCGCACATGGAGCCCCGTCACGCTCAAGGCACCACTCCTCTGCAGTGTAATCATCATATCCGGTGGACTCATTGTCGTCATCCAGCTATTGCTCTCTAGTAGCCAAAAGAATGATGGGATAATCTTTTCACGAGACATCAATGGTCTGCCACTCAGCAAATCATTCAGCTACCTTTATCTCCCGACTATTATTGCTGTATTGTACAGTTTCTTGTGGAGCTGGATAGATCTCGATGCTAAACGGCTGGAACCATACTACCAACTATCGCAAGAATGCGGCGCGTCAGCTGAAGACTCCATTCTTTTGGAATATCCGTATGATTTTGCAGGCTTTGTACCAATCAAAGCCATCAAGCGTCGGTAAGTGCTCTGTTCATTCAAGGATACGAACTAGGGTTAACCATTCCAAGCCACTGGCCTGTGTTCACAGCTTCGGTTGCCATGCTTCTCATATTCTGGGGCATTACTCCAACACAAGCTGGCATTTTCGCTACAGACAACGTCGTTCGAACATTCCCTATGACAATGCTGAGATCTACCGGTTATCTCACAAATGCGGAGCAAAATTCTGGACTCACGGCAACATATGCCCAGTCAGTGTACAATATCGCATGGCTTAATGAGAGCTTACCGGCCTTCATGTCGCGGGACTACATGTTGGCGCCATTTGGGCCTCAAGAAAACCTATCCGATATCAAAGACTCGGAAACTTGGACTGGCCAAACAACACGGTACTCTGTTGATGTTTCTTGCAGCGTTCCCAAAGAAACTAAGGTCGACTATCTGCTCGGTCCATGCCAATATCAAAAGCCATCCGCCAGTATTGGCTTCAAGTACAGGAAAACTTACTCAAGCTTATATGTTGGATACCACGACGAGGATGGCATGGCCGACTATTATCTAAGTCAATTTTGCCCTAAGAATGTTTCACACAGCTTCTTGATTCGTTGGGTGGCCAATACCTGGAACACGACGACAACGACGGCGATCAACGAGACCGCGCTCTACTGCGAGCCCACGTACTACCAACAGGATGTCAATGCCACTGTATCTTTGCCCAGAAAAGCAGTAATGAACATTACCACCTTAGGACCTAAAACCCCACTCCCAGAAGATATGTTCAACGCAACCAATTTCGAATGGGGCATGAATTCCGCCGAGCAAAGATTTGCCAACCGCGGGGACTACCCCACTTCCGGGTGGGCAGACATGCGGGCCCGTCTAAATAACATAGATGTTGATACTAACTACCTGCCTAAGATGGCGTCATTTGCAATCGCCGCCCTCCAGCGACCCGCGGCAGACTACCTCGACCCGGAGGTCTTGCGTGCATCTTACGAGGCTGCCTACCGTTTGCTCTTTTCCCGACAGCTCGTGGACGTGTTGAGCACGAAGCTGGAAGAAGGCACCGCGACAACCGGTCAGCGACAGTACAGATCGCAATCTGTCATTGTGGTACCGGCATTTGCTTACTTGACGGAAGGACTTCTTGGTGGCGTCATACTGTTCACTGCTGGCCTGATTTATCTCTCGGTTGCGAAACAAAGGAAGCTCAATTCGGATCCTGCTGATATATCATCGTTGATAAGTCTTGTAGCCGATTCCCCGGAGTTTCTAGATGATATGAAAAGGTTTGACCGGACTAGTACGAAATACCTCAACAAGTCCCTCCAAGGAAGGGTCTACATGCTGGGGCAAGCCGATGAAGGCAGTGGGTTCCGACTCGAAAGGCTAGACAAATCCGTCATCGAGTGCCCGGGGAGCGAACCTGCTTCACAGGACCCTGAAGACGGGCTGAAGATAGATGGCATCCGACCAAGGGAGCTTCGTCTCTGGACTGGCTCGTTCTTGCTTAGCTTTTTCTCCGCTATGCTCGTCACTTTCGCTGTCCTGTACGCCAAGATAGAAAGACAGAATGGTAAGTCGACACCCAGTTGCTAAGATTGTATAATAAAGCTCACTTTCAAAGGTATCCCTCTTCCGTCCGAGGACCGGTTTGTGCGCCAGCTGGTGGAGAGCTACCTCCCGACAGTCGTCGCAACCTTGATTGAACCCATCTGGCTCGTTCTTAATCGACTGATCCTTACGCTGCAACCGTTTGAGGAGCTTCGACGTGGAAAGGCACTTGCGTCGAGGTCAATTGCAGTCGACTACAACTCGCTGCCACCGCAGCTGGTCCTCTTCAAAGCCTTTCGAGCACGACACTTGGTGCTCGGCGCCGTCTGCTGCATGACGCTGCTCGCGCACTTCTTGTCCATCGCTTTCAGTGCCCTCTTCTTGGAGAGCGAAGTGATGGTGTCACACGCAGCGACCTACTCAGCGCCCCTACAAGCGCCGCTTGATACCTTCGCTCTGAAGAACCGCACAGACTTATATCTCCTCAACAACCGCGCCAACACGGATCAGTTCTACGTCGTCATGTCCAACCTCACAGCTGGCACGCCGCTCTCATCTTGGGTCGACGAGCGGTTCTTCTACTTGCCTTTCGAGTCGACCAACGTTACACACCAATCCTGGAGCCACCGCGCCACGACAAGGGCCTTCGGCGCCGAGATTCAATGCGTACCCCTCGAGACAGAAGGCCCAAACACCATCGCCCTGGACTTTGATGACAACGCCGGAGGAGTTCATGTGAACATCAGCGCCACCATAGGTGATCGTGTCTGTGAGACGAAAGACTACGTGGATTACATCGGGGGCAAATTTCAATCCAAGATCGCACTCGAGCTTAACAACCTTGCGTGTGGCGACATCCTGATCAGCGGCTGGATACGTGCCAATGTGACACGTAACCAAATCTGGACCAGCAATGGTGCTGATGATATCTCTCAGGTCACGTTTCATTCGTTGGACTGGACCTTCATCGCGTGTCGAGCTGTCATGAAAACCGGCATGTCCGAAGTCACGGTCGATTATCGTGGAAAGGTTCTGGATGCTTCGCCGCAGCTGATACCGGATGACTCCCCCGAAAAGTATTTCGTGCAGAACAACACAGAGATCATCAGCTCGATCTACCGTGCCTGGATATTCCCAGGGCAGGATACGGGTTCACTCAATGTCCAGACTTGGCACAACGACTCATATCCTTCCGACTTTTACAACTATCTGATCCTGAAATCGACTGAAGACCGGCGCCTGCTGGATCCTGATTTGCCACCTCCGACCTTCAACGAGACGGCTCCGAAATTCGCCGCTCTCTACTCACAGCTGGTGGCTATTACGCTCAGCGAGAACTCGAATGTGAGCTTCTCCCCTTCATCGGCAAACACCCAAGGAAGCAACATCAAGCCGGAGACGCGCATCTTCATGTCCAAGCCCATGTTCCTCATCGCGGAGGCAATTTTGGGTCTGTACGTCGTTGTTCTGGTCGCCGTCTACGTGCGCCGCCCTTGGCGCATCCTGCCCCGATTGCCGACGACGATCGCGTCCAACATTGGGTACTTCGCTGCGAGCCACGCGGTGCTGGACCTGAAAGGAACGGGGGCCATGTCGGTGGCAACCAGGAACAAGCATCTGGCGAGCATGGGCCACAGGTACGGGTTTGGGACCTTTGTTGGCACGGATGGCAAGCCACACAGAGGCATCGAACGGCAGCCATATTTTGCGCCGTTGACCAAGACGGCACTTACCACGAAGGAACAAGACAACGACGGCGACAAAGCAGGCGAGGCCAAGCGTCCTTGGACGTCTTACTTCCAGTTGAAGAACCCGAGCACAAATCGGGTCGTCGAAGGGGGGTGGCTTTGATGACGAGGTGACGAGATGACGCCGGTGTTGAAAATGAAAGAAGAAAGATGCGGGCTCGCACGGAGCGCCCGACATGAGGATGTCCGGGCACACAGCCACGCGGCTTGCGATTGAAGGGACAGGCGGACCCTCGGGCACGGGCCGAGACCACGGACGGGCAAATTACCAAGGGTGAGACACGGCGAGGGCCGCGGGTCACGGTCCCGTCGGCCAGCGCCCAGCACAGGTTTAGCGACCCGAGGCGTGGCGGTGCCTCGCGCACACAGCGAGGGTTGTGGCGAGTGCTGCGGGTCACGCCGGTCCCCCGCGCCGCACCGCTGCAAGGCGGGCCGGCAGAGGCCGACGGCCGTGACGGGTTGGAGGCTCAGACCGTGGCGCAAAGTGTGGCGGTGCCTAGTGACAAGTGATGGTGCGCATTTACACCTTCACTTGTCACTAGCCAGCCGCACCGGTCTCGTGTCTGACTCGAGAGCACCAGGCGTGATGACGGACTCGGTGCTCGGGTGATTGGACACTTACAGTACCTCCTAGGCTACCCAGCCTGCTCCAAAACCGAAGCACTTCTGGCGACTTTTTGCATGAACTCCTAGGAAAATATGTTAGTACTACTCCTACGCTACGTAGGCTACTTTATAGAAAATCAGAGGCATATCGCGAACATTCGATTTCATGCAAAGTTGTTGGTCAGAGTGTCGGCATTTCGAAGGCCATGGCCCGTGAGAGAAAATGGCTTGGCGGTTCTCCGGTGTGCCGGTGCTTTTGTGCTTTTTATAGTGTGGCGCAGCGGGGCGGGGAGCGCGATCGTATCCAAGATGGGCCAGCGGGAGTTCTAATTCTGTGCATCGTATGTACCATAGTAGTAGTTACGTAGTAGTTGACTGAAAGAGGCGGGAGTCGGGGCCAGTCGGGCACTCCGAGACGCAGGAAAAGTTGTCGCCAACAACGATGATCAGTGATGCCTGCCAACAGGCAGGCAGCCGACCAACCGTCACCGCAAATTGACTGAGTCGGTTTCGAGAAGAACCTTAGGAGAATCTATCGTCGGCCAGCAAAAGGGCCACTTGACGTCTGGCGGCCAAGCCAAGCGCTTAGCGAGCGACCAATGGGGTTGACAAGGGCGTAGGGCAGTCGTCTCCCATGCCCTGGGACGCAGCTCATTGGCTGTGCCACGCGGTCGCAGCAGCGGGGCCGCCTGCCCACGGTACTACAAAGTGACCTGCATCTTGTACATACGACATACATGACATGGTGGATATGCGCGCAGACATCGATGCACACCGCTGCCCGTCGCCGTTGGGGCGGGCGCTTGTTGGTCATGAGTTGGTGTTTGAGGTGGCGGGGCGGTCGTTTGCCGTTGTCGTTGTTGTTGGAGCTTGTTGGGGCTCGTTTCTAACCTAGTGCCCATTACCTACCACACAATAAGGTTGGATGGAAAGTTTCTTCTTGGTGCTTCCTGGTGGCTTCCTGGTGCATCCTGGTGGCGGCAGGGAAAAGAGCTTGGAAGCGTGTTCATACCCAGAGAGGGAAACGACCGTCCAGGCGACCGTGTTTCAGGACGTGTGGAGAAATAAGGGCGATCGCGGCCGACTGGCAGGCTAGTGCGCCGGCTGTTTGGCTGGCCCGCGGCGCAGGATTGGCCAGAGTGGCCAGGCACAACTGGCCCATCGAGAGACCTTTGTTTCAGCATTGACTGCATCTGGCCAACCGGGCCGCTGCCTTCCTCATGGATTTGCGGCTGCCAGCTGGTCGCCTCTCCTCACTCGCCCATTCACCAACTACCTCTTTCACTCTCCTCGTTTCAAACGCACGTCTCCACGCCCGGACGCCCAATCCTTCGTGTTACTCTTCCCGAAATGGAACCGCATCGAGACTGTCGTCGCACCTGCGCCGATCTCAGGGACCAGCACAGTGACTGGGGAATCATGCCCGACGCCCGTTCCCTGTGGCTGCGGCCGGCCTTACGCATGCACCGCTTGAGCAAAGCTTGTTCAGGAGAGCCGCCGCATTGCAAGATCGCCCGCCGCTTATAAGTATCTTCTGCCTCTCCCACTTTCCCTCGACATCGCCCTCGTCGACTCTTATTTCCTCACCGGTTAAGGCCAGCCCTTTGCCGTCTTTCTTGTTTATCCTCTCTTACCTCTTGTTGTTCTTGCCTGCGGCGGAACGTACTGTCCTTAAGGAAATCTTCCTGTGAAAACTCGAGCAACCCTTCACTTGCACTTTTGCTGAGCCAAGTCAATCGATCCGACTCTTGTTACTCCGTCGCAAAGAAAAGGTACGTCATCATTGTCCCGCGCTTTGTTTCAGTACAATGCCTTTGTTCTTTGCGTGAACAACCTCGCCTCTAACACTGCATTTCAGTTATATAACTCTTCATTTGTGGCCCTTCGATCAAACATAATTTGAACATTCGCCAGCTGGTCTAGCGTTTCTCAGCATACCCACACGCTCAAATTTCACAACACACTCTCTACAACTTTTCAACATGTACATTTCCGCAGCCTTTGTTGCAGCCGCCATGAGCTTGGCTAGCTCTGCCAATGCCCACGTTGTCATGCAATCCCCCACGCCTTACTCTGGAGGAGGTCTTGTCCAGGTCAACCCTCTGGATGGCACGACCTACCAGTTCCCTTGCCAGGGTGGCACCGACGCCGCCTACTACGAGAATAGCAAGGCCACCGACATGACGGCTGGTGACGCCACCGACCTTAAGTTCACTGGTAGCGCCGTCCACGGCGGTGGTTCCTGCCAGCTTTCCGTCACCTACGAGAACCCCCCGCCCAAGGACCGCAACAAGTGGAAGGTTATCCACTCGATGGAGGGTGGCTGCCCGGCCGATGCCGCGGGCAACATTGAGACCCAAGGCACGGACACCGATGGCCGCGAAACCGGCAAGCAGTGCACTAGCAACGACGAGAAGGAATGCTTGAAGCAGTACAAGATCACGATCCCCAAGGAGCTCAAGAGCGGCAAGGCGACGTTCGCCTGGACCTGGGTGAACAAGTATGCGGGTAAGAATGAGTTCTACATGAACTGCGCGCCCATCAACATCCAGGGCGGCAGCGACAGCGACGACTATTTCAACTCGCTGCCTAGCCTTTTCGTTGCCAACATTCCCGGCGAGTGCCAAACTAAGCTGGGAAGCGCCATTGCTTACCCCAACCCCGGCACCAGCGTCGAAAAGGATGGCGACTCAGACTCCGCCGCCCTCGGTTCCTGCGCTACTGAGACCGGCGGCGCCGGCTCCCCCGTCGCTTCCGCCACCGCTGGCTCCGGCTCGCAGGAGAGCTCTGCCCCGGCTGCCTCTGCTACCTCCGCTGCCTCCCAGCCTACGTCGGCGGCGTCCAACACTGGCGGCGTCTTCGCGCCCAGTGCCGCCTCGCCCACCTACACTGCGACCTCGATGGCCACGGTCGTCGTCTCGACGTCTGCGCCCGCCGCCACTAGCGCCTCGTCTTCGTCTTCGTCTTCCAGCGGCAGCAGCTCCGGCAGTAGTTCCGACGTCGACTGCTCAGAGGACGGCGCCCTTGTCTGCATTGGCACCTCGCAGTTCGGCATCTGCAACCGTGGCAAGGCCACCCCGCAGGCCGTCGCCGCCGGCACGACGTGCACCAACGGCAAGATTGTCACCTCCAACTAGAAGCGTGAGGCCAATCAGCCGCGCCGCGCGGCTTTCGCGGTCACCCACGACGAGTAAACAGTTGCTGCGCTCGTGGATGCTTGGTAACGATGGTTACGTCGGTTCCTGTTTTGCTTCGCTTCTTGACACCTGTGCATACCCTGCCTGGGCTTTTACACTTCTTCGCTTCTTGTATATTGAGATACCTTTAGTTTGGGTTTTTACATTTGATTGCTTTACCAGCCCCTGCCCTGAATAGGCGGGTGGCATTTGCTTTTTCAGCATAGGATAGATAAACAGACATCGATGATGGATCTTGTACTTCTTCTGGCTTATTGGACCTGAGTGATATGATGATGTGCTGTGTGATGTAATGGGTACTCAAGACAGTGACTTCACCGGAGCACGTGATAAAGTGGATGAATGATGATGTGCCTGATTGACTATCCCTATATCTCCCTTCTTCGTCTATCTTTGTCGAATTTTTTTGTTGATCTTCTATTGTGCACACGTCATAACATATTCACAGACCGTTCGCGTATCACGCAGCAAGGCCAGGAGAGCACGACGCACCTTGGGGTGCGAATCTTAACCTACAACGGGCGTCTTAAGATAGGTTTGGTCATAGCAGGCACATCAACGCCTGCACACACTCACACCCGTGCAGAGAGAGGGACGAAGCGTGCGAGAACAGCTGGACAAAACCATAAGTAGCAACAAAGGAAGGTCTTAGAGACAACAAAAAGAGTAGCCAGTACGAGCGAGGAAGCAAATGGAAGCGAAAGCATTCGCGCGACGCAACGCAATGCAACACAGCACGAGTGCCATAAACTTAGGTAACATTGAGTATAATCCAGGATCGTAAGAATAACCAGCCCAGTCCAGCGAGCATACGTGCATTCATGCGTACGTTCATGCGTACCCCCACCTGTTCCATCCTCAACGCCGCAGCAGCCCCAAATCCCAGCCAGCCCCCAAAGCGACAAAAACACACACACATAGGTCCGTAGTAGAATACAACCGACCAACCAACCCCAACCGGTCCCTTGACTCCACACCTCCACACCTTGTCTCTCGCCCCACCCCCACCACCATCACCAACTACAACACCAACCCCAGCCCCACTCCCAACCTAAACGTCCATCATCTCAACATCACTGTCCAACAACTCGTCCACCACATCCCTGCTCGCGCTCTCCTTCGCCTTCGCCTTCGACTTTGCGTTGGCCTTCCCTCTCCCCTTCGCAGGCGTCGCCGCAGCCGCAGCCGCAGCCGCAGCCGCAGCCTTTGGCCTCCCTCTCCCCCTCGGCTGCACAGGTGGCGCCTTCTCCTTCTCCTTCGGCTTCGTCTTCGCTTTGACAGCCGACGCCGGTGGCATCGCCACCACTATCGTGCTCCCATTACCGCTACTCGAATCGCTCGCTTTCTGCTCTTCTTCTTCTTCTTCTTCTTCTTCTTCTTCTTCTTCTTCTTCCTCCTCCTCTTCGTCATCATCTTCTTCGACGCCGTACACCGTCCCCTCTGCGTCCACCTCCGCCATTGTCTCCTCGGCGAGCTGCTGCTGGATCTGCTCTTCGATGCTCATCGCGCGCGGCTCGGCCGGGCGGGGAGTTGCAGCACTGGAGGAGGCTGCGTCGTCATCATCGTCATCATCTCCCTCACCCTCCACACCGGTAACGGCATCGGCACCGGCACCGGCATCAGGATCGGGGGTTTCTTCCGGCTCCGCCGATGCCGCCGCTTCAGCGACCGAGGCGTCGTCGTCCTTCTCTGCTTCGCCCTGCACGACCGTCGCGTCTTCGGCTCTCTCGCCGCCGCCGTGCACGCTGAGCCCGGCTTTCCAGATCGCATTGGCAAGCTTGGCGAGCGCGTTGCGCGATGTTGCGTCTGCCGCGACCTTCGAGTCTTGCGCTTCAGTGACGAGGTCCGAAACGGATTGCAGCTTCTTTGGCGTGAAGGACGTGGGGTGAACATGCAGTTTTGAAAGCATGGAGAGGTAGATTTTCTTTTCTTCCTCTGTAGGTGCAGTGTGTTAGTGAATTGCGCGTAAAGTAAGATAATTGTGGATGGAAAGTGACTTACTGGTCGTGCCGTGCGTCAAGCTTTTCTCCAACAATTCCTCCGCTAGGACGAGGTGTGGGTCTCCCGCTGCCTCGACCCTCCTTCCGCTCGTACCCTCGAGCACCGTGCCAAGCTCCTCGACGCCAACCAACTTCCTCGGGTCGGTCCAGTCGACAATCTGGCTGCCGACAACGTTTAGCCCAACCATCTCCACATCGCCTTCCTCGTCCAGCTCTTCTTGCACACTCATGAGAGCGTGTAAAATCGGAACCGCGATGCTGGCCATGCGCTCTGCGTTCTCCTTGCGCGAGTGGCAGTATACCGGCAAAAAGTACGTCAGCGCCTGTCTCAACCCGGGGTTCTGCTGGCTCTCCGGGTTAAAGTAGGCAACCGTCAGCCATCTTAGCAAGTCAGAATCGCGCAAGATGTTGAGCAACATGAGCTTCGACGCAGCCACGGCACCTGACGTGGCAACTTGAACCTCTCCCGATTTCAATGCCCGCAGGTACATTTTCAGAATCGGCTTAAGAAGGGGGTTGGGAACCTCCGTAGCATCGGCAGCGCTAACGTCGGGTGGAGGTTCAGGGCTAGCGATGAGAGAGGGATGCGTGGTCAGAATATCGGTGATTATCTGAATAGCAATAGTTTGCAGGGCTTCATGGCCCTTGGCAAAACAGTGGAGGAAAAGAGCAAGGTTCTCTTGAGCGATGTTCTGGAGCCGGTTAGTTTTGTAGAATACCAATGGAACCGTTGTGGACATACCTTGCTGAGGATGCAGCACAAACCCAGACAGAGGAACCCACGCTCACGAACAGGAACTTCCTGCGACCGAACGGCAGGAACCACCAGGTTGTTGAGCATAGTAACGAGGACATGGTTGGATTCCAGGTCGCAGTGCACATTCTGCAGCATGCACTGAGCTATGTGGAGGCACTTCATGTTGACCATGATTTCGCGAACCGCCTTCTCCTCCTCTATGGCGTCCTGCTCCTCTTCAGTCATTCCTGGCTTAATTCTTTTCCTCTTTTCACTCGTCGGGGTTGCTTCCGCATCGTTGACGTCAGAACGCGCCGAATGGAAGCTTGCCTCGGTCTTTGCATCGTCGTCGCCCATAATAGTGTCGTGCACGTCGGCAATCGCTTCGAGGACAATCTCGCAGAATTCGCGCTCCCCGGATGAATTGGGGCCGCAGACACTGCGGAGGACCTCGACAACAAGCTTGGTACACTCCTCTGGTAGATGGGCTATAGCTAGTGCCTCGCGCATGGTGGAAAACATCTTTCTGCGGCCAATCTCGTCGGTATAGTCCAGAGTAAGGGCAATGTGAAGGAGCTGTTCGACGCAAAATTCCTGTTGAACCGTATCTTCTTCCGCATCCGGATCTTCCTCTAGAGCAACCTTCTGCGCTCCCTCAATGAGCGTGTTGATGTGCTTCTGGATGAGGTAGCCGTATTTGGTGACTTCAGGCATCTTGTCCTCGAGCATGCTTTGGAGCCTGCTGTCCCCGCTGTTTTTGCAGTAGTCGTTGAAGGTCCGCGCAATGAAGATGCTTTCAGGAGACAGCTCATTCCAGAAAGCATCATCGAACGTGATGAATTCGCGATAGTCTGGTCGTCCGTCCCAAAACTCTTTCATAGCCTCGTGTGCCGCACCACCCTCGTTACCGGAGTTGATCACGTCAACACGCTCAAGAAGTTCTAACAGCGCATCATAGCTGGGTTTCGACAGCTGATTGACTCCAGGTGCGCCCTCTTCAGCACCTTCCGGAAGGCCGGCACAATCCTCGATCCAGCGTTCGCGGAAGAGGCGCGCCGTTGCTTTGCGAACGTTCTCGTCACGATCGCGAATACCCCATCGGAGAAGTTTTTCACGGAGGTTTAAGGACAGGTGCCGGAAATCGCCAAGAGCGGGCAATAACTTCGAGTAAAGCGCCCTCCTAGTCCCGGGATCCTGGTCTCGAGCGCGCTCCAATAAGTACGGTAGCGTGGTAGGCGTCAACGGAAGGTTGATGAGCAATGCGCGTCGTACTTCTGCGCTGGAATCGTTCTGAAGGACATCCAGCAACTTCTCCAGGAGGCCACTCGCCGTTTCATCGTCACTGTCTTCGTCTGCTTGATCGTCACCTTCATCCGCGAGCCGACCGAGGCCCAATACTGCCTGTACGCGGATGGTGCTCTCCTTGTCCTTTAAGCGTTTGAGTAGACCCAAACGGATGTACTGGAATAACTCGTCGTCGATAGATTCGAGCGTGTTGACGATGTGTGCGGTAATTTGCGTTGCTCTGAAGCGGACAACCTTGTCCTTTGCCGTAAGAAGTGGGAGGATGAGAGAGAGGATGTGCGATGTCAAGCGACTGCTGGGTGTCTCTGGGATGGCCTCTGCCGCGTCGGGATCGCCGCCCGTCGCAATGGCATTGTCTGGCGATTGTCAACACTCGGCGTCACGGCGAGCGCAGGCTGCTTACCTTTGTCGCTGGCGTGCTTCAGGAAGATGCCGACAAACCTGATGATGCGGTCGCCGACGGGTTCGCTCTTCTTCACGGGCAGTATTCTGAGCAGGCAACGGCCCACTTCGTTGTTGAATTCTTCTTCGCCAAAATCCTCGTCCGTTTGGTGTTTGCGCGGCTTGACGGGTTCGTAGCAGCACGTTTCTTGGATCTTGCGCAAGGTGACGACGAGCTTACGCTGGGTGGCCGTGGTGCGCTGGGCGTCGGCGAAGACCCTGCAGATGTGCTCGCGCAGGCTGGTCGACTCGCCTTCGTCCGGGATCTCGACTGCGTCGGCTGAGGCGCGCGCTCGTGCGGTTCTGCGGGTGCGGGTGGTGGAGGTGGAGGCGGCTGAGGCGCGCGCGCCACGGCCTCGTCCTGATACTCGGCCTGGCATTATTATGTGGTGGTGGTGGATAGTGGGGTCGAGAGGCGTGGGTGTTTGTTGGTAAACAATTTGGACGTGCGTAATCGGCGACGGAGGTGAGCGGGCGGCGTTTGCAATGGCGTTGGCGGCGGGACGAAAGTTCCAGCTGCGCCAATTGATCTCGATCTACCGAAAAACACCACACCATGTTTCGGACAAGAGTGCTGCGGTTCGCCGCGACTGCGTGCAGGGCCGCCGAGAACATTTCGCAGATTGAGGCCGCGCAGCAGTATGCCATCGGCGTCTCCAAGGCCCAGGGCATCCAGCGCGGCTTCGTCGACGGTACGCCAACCATGTCGCCGCCACCCTCTTTCCTCGGCTGACGCCCCACGTTCGCAGCAATTGGCAAGACGCCGCTCATCCGCCTGAAGAAACTCTCCGAGGAGACTGGCTGCGAGGTTCTCGGCAAGGCCGAGTTTCAAAACCCCGGTGGTTCGGTCAAGGACCGCGCCGCCCTCTACGTCGTTGAGAATGCCGAGAAGTTGGGCCTGCTCAAGCCCGGCGGCACCGTCATCGAGGGCACCGCCGGAAACACGGGCATTGGCCTTGCCCACGTCTGCCGTGCCAAGGGCTACAAGCTGGTCATCTACATGCCCAACACCCAGTCGCAAGGCAAAATCGATCTGCTGAGGCTGTTGGGTGCCGAGGTCTACCCTGTGCCCGCCGTCGCCTTCGACAACCCGCAGAACTACAACCACCAGGCCAAGAGGCACGCCGAGAGCATGGACAACGCCGTGTGGACCAACCAGTTTGACAACATTGCCAACCGTCAGGCCCACATTGAGACGACCGGCCCGGAGATCTGGTACCAGACCCAGGGCAAGCTCGACGCTTTCACTTGCGCCACGGGTACCGGAGGCACTCTTGCCGGCATTACCAGGTACCTGAAGGAGAAGTCGGATGGACGCGTCAAGTCGTTCCTGGCTGACCCGCCCGGATCCGTCCTGCACTCGTACATCCAGAGCGGTGGAAAGCTGACGGACCGCTCTGGCGGCTCCATCACCGAAGGCATTGGTCAGGGCCGCGTCACGGAAAACCTGAAGCCTGACATTGGCCTTCTCGATGGTTCCCTGCATATCAGCGACGAGAAGACGATTGCCATGGTCTACAGGTGCTTGGACGAGGAAGGCCTCTACCTTGGCGCCAGCTCTTGCCTGAACGTTGTTGCCGCCAAGGAAGTCGCCGAGAAGCTCGGAAGGGGCCACACCGTTGTCACTATTCTTTGCGATGGCGCCTACAGATACGCTGAACGTTTGTTCTCCAAGAAGTGGCTCGAGTCTAAGAACCTCAGTGACGCCGTCCCTGAGCACCTGAGAAAGTACACTGTTCTGCCTTAAAGAGACGGAACCATCTAGATGCCCTACGAGGCTTTCATGTAGATAAACTTGAAAGATGCATTGTACGTTACTTGGCGCCTTCCTGATCTACCTTATGTTGCACTTTCCATATTCCCCAATTGGATCCAAGATGTTCTTTCTGTTTGCTGTCCTCCATATTATTTCCAACGTCATTTGGTTAGACACTTCAACCAACCCATTGTCAAATATTTACTCAGCAATTATTGCTTTGCCATCGTTATCAACGCACTCATATCTCACAATGCCGCAGCACAACAGACCTTGTGTTAGACGGCGGGACGCATCCTGTCCAGATAGCATTGCTTGGGTTACATGTACTTTCGCTTCGTCGCCTGTTAGTTATGCGGGTGAAATATCCAGAGTTAGGCGGCACAGATCTAGAACCTGCCCCATACCAAATGATTCCGAGCAACAACGCCATTTCTGTCGCTTCAGACAAGAAAACAGACAGTCCTTTAACAGGATTTCAGTGGAAGACGATTCGGATGAAAACAACAACCTCCCATTGAACACAGATCCATTCGGACGAGAACCTCCTTGGACCTACAATCCGGCTCCCGTTGCACCCACATTCGATTATGTTCGCACAAGCACCACACTCGGTCTTCAGTCAACCAGTCGGCCAGTTACCCAACATCAAAGCTATGAATCAGAGCAGGTGTATACTGAGCTAGTCAACTGGATTCAACGGCTCAAACGCGAGTCCGAGCTACCCGTCGCGTCCATAAGTACGCTCGATTTACTCATCCGCCGAGAAACTTGCACAAGAATTCAACTTAGTCTCATCGACTACGCGCCACACAACCGCCTTTTCCAGTCTTCGGACTACTATTACACCGCGCTCAACCAGCTCGCATATCAATATGAGCTGTTTCGCGTCCTTCGCAACGCGTTGAAGTTGCTTCCATCTTCCTCAAACCACAATCATCTCCAGTATTTTCATCGCATACTCGCTGCTTTCCGCGAAGCCAACAGGCCCTCTGCATTCGTCTTTGCTGATAGCTCATACCCGGTTGAAATGCCGCTACAGTTGACACCGAGTTTGAAGGCCATAAGGGACAAGGCTGCTGATGAAGGGACAATTGACGGCTGGGCTGACGATATTGGGCGCATGATTGCGCATATCAGCAGCCATGGTATCGAGGGGGACCATTGGGATGGTTGCGCTGAGGCGATTGAGCAGTCCAGACAAATACGGGCGAGCGAACGAGTTCCTCGTTTATAGATATGTAGCTGAGCTCAAAAATCAAGCCGTGGTAGTAGACTATCGGTCACTGCATAAGCAATGCTATAAGTTCTGATACGCCTCGTTACCAGATGTAGAAAAGCGCCGGGTAGCAGATCTGGGGTAGCTTGCAGCCATGGAAGCGACAGCGACAACACCTGGCTTCATCTGCCCGCCGGCATCACCACCACCCGCCTCACCCCGCCGCCATTCGGACACACCACTCCCCCACAATGTCGATGCAGCAGCTCCTCGGGCCCCTTGCGGGCATGCAACCGCGCCAAGTCGCCATGCAAGCGCTCAACTTTGCGCTGGTGCTCAGCACAGCCTTCATGCTCTGGAAAGGCCTCTCGGTCATTACCGACTCGCAGTCACCCATTGTCGTCGTCTTGTCTGGCAGCATGGAGCCGGCGTTCCAGCGCGGCGACCTGCTGTTCCTATGGAACCGGGCGAAAGACACCAAGATCGGCGAGGTGGTGGTGTACAATGTGCGCGGGAAGGACATCCCCATTGTGCACCGTGTGATTAGGCGCTTCGGCGGAGGGTGAGTGCAGTAGACATACCGTACAAGCCTGCGAGCAATAAGCTAACCACGCCGCTGCTGGACAGACTCAACCCTCTGCGTCTGCTCACCAAGGGCGACAACAACGTCGCCGACGATACGGAGCTGTACGCCCGCGGCCAGGCCTTCCTGAACCGCGAGCGCGACGTCATCGGCTCCGTATTCGCGTACATTCCCTTTGTCGGCTATGTGACTATCCTGCTGAGCGAATACCCCTGGCTCAAGACCGTCATGCTTGGCCTCATGGGCTTGACCGTCGTCTTGCAACGCGAGTAGCGCGGCCCATTATCTGGGCGTGCTGGCTGCTGCGTGTCGCCGCCGCGGGCCGCTGCTCTACTCCCCCGTCCGCGATGATACCGCCGATATTCATAGCTCTGGTTCCTGGTCCTCTGTTTTCCCCGCCTCAGAGGCGCGGCTGGCTGCATGACTTCTGAGGCGGCAAGGCGAGCAAGTTGCAAGACTGGTCATCGCTGCAGTCCCACGGCCGGATTACCACAGCGCATCTTTCCGCCCCTGATGTTGCTGCTGTACATCAATGCCTTTCTGCTTCCGTGTGCTGTCCTGGGGCGTTGCCTCAGCGCCGCCGCACCAATACTGGCGGCAAGAGCAGGCGCCGCATCTCTTGTCATGCTGTGCAGCTGCAACTGGAGGACGGTATTGGCAGTCTTGGGTGGGTGTATGGAACGGCGGTTTAGAAAAGCTGGCAGCGGGGTTGGATGATGCAGCTTGATGGCGGCCACCATTTCCACGGCGCGTAGCAAAATAAACATGTACTCCATACCGCCGACGATGTTGCGCACGTACCGACCATTCATAACCACACATCCATGCTCAAACTCAAGCGGTGATGGACCGTAAGCATCGATTTGATTTTGAAACTATCCATCTCCAAACCGTTCCAACCATTCAGTACTCGCAATGCAGAGCCAGGACGACCCACTGATCATGACTGAAAATTCCTATGTATCCGCCGTTCCGATCCTGATCCTGATTTCAATGCTTTCATAAAAAGTATCGCATCCCCAAGGATCATTACTTGATCGAAGTGGTGTTATTGAAATTGACATTCTCATTCATCTCCCAAGCCGCGGCGCACCACGAGAGCACTAGAAGTTTCAGAAGTGAACTTCCTAATGCTGATGAAGCTGTTGAAATCCACGTTGCAATGCATGCCACTGGCAGAATTCTTCCAGTCGACGTATGCCGCAATGTTCTCAAGGGTTTGAGTCATATCGCGGAAGCTGAAAGGAACCTTTGAGGAGCTGCCATCGTTGGTTGTGATAGTTGCTTCGAAGGAGACAGTAGTATTGCTGATTTGAAGTGGGGGAGAAGCATCGGAATCGGATGAGCCAAGCTTGTTGTGTTGATGTTGACGCTTCTCGGTAGGCATGTCCAAGGGGAGGCCGCCATCAGACTTGTCGCGAGGCGATATTGATCCTGGTCCATTCTGAGGAGTGGAAGGTGCAGGAGATACTTCCGGCTGGCATGAGTCAAATGAACCGACAGATTGGCCATCACTGATGCTCTGTGAGCCTTGCACGGAATCAACTTCCTTGTCGACTTGAAAGGTATCTTCCATGTGAGCTTGAGTAGAGACAACCTTGTCGGATTGGAGTGGCATGGCATCACTGAATCCTAAAGGTTGTTGGCTCTCGACAGAGGCTATCAAATCTCCCTGTTTGCGAAGCGTGCCGTCATACTCAACCGCGAGTTCGTGCAGACGCTTAAGGACTTCGTATTCTTCTCCATCATTGACAGAGACTGGCTGACCATAGCGCTTGCTGGGTTTGATGTACTGTTTCTTGATCATGCTGCAGTCGTCCTCATGGCCACCCTTTAGAGTGAGGATGGTGACAACCCTTCGGAGGATGTCGCGACTGAGGATCAACTTAGATGAGTGGTCCTAGAGCTAGTCAGTCAGATTTTCAAGATAGTCAGTAAATCGTGACACTGACGTCGACGCTTGCCATCGTGAACGCCACAGGACCTGACCGGGGCTGAAGGTCTGGTGTAGGGTGTTGGGAGATGGTGAGGAGCGAGCAAGCCCTTGAAAGTGCTCTCTCACCGGAGGATCCAGGATCCGGTGCAGGGTGGTGGAGAGGAGCGGCGGGTAGTGTTGCAAAGGACAAATCATAGGAGTGTCGGCACAAGCTTTAACTACCTGCCTAGGTAGGTACCTAGTGAAATGAATGGAAGGGCAAACGGAAAGAGCAACCCTTCAGCGGCTACGGCAGGCACGAAAGGCACGTGCCTTCTTCCTGTCTTCCAGCAACCTCGTACATCAGAAAGCTTCCGAAATGGCAATGCACAAAACGTTGTACCCTTTCATGGTTGCAACGATTGAGCTGGTCAGCAGCATCTTCCTGTCAACCCTATATCCGGCTAGGGTTCGAGTCACCTTTCGCTCACCTTAAGCATTATAAAGAGAGAACCCTTATACACAGCCAATGCCATAAGGATGCCAAATTGCAAACACATTCAACGGTTGGAAGCAGCTGTCAAGCTCCGTTGTGACCAGTTTCGACTGTACCTATGACAACCGTCCACTTCCCACATAAAACGCCACACCCTACCTTAGTACTCCCCCGCAGACCCGCACCTCCGTCCGTGCCGTTGGGTTGCCACGTTTTGGGCGCCTATTTTTGACGGTCGACATACTGGCCGTAAAGCTTGTCCTGAAGGATGCGGCTGCACGTGCAGTGTACGGGCCGTAACCGCACGCTTAAGCATCGTGTGGTCCTGGCCTCGCCTGGGTTGATCTTGTGCGTGACTGAAAACAATGGTGTGAAAGTCTGGACTGGGAAGAAAAGAACCTCCTTCGCGCCGGGTGGGACGACATTACATATCTCCGGGCCACCAACATGCCTTATGCAGTTAGTGGAGTTTTCCGTCGAGCGGATCAACGCTCGACCCACCACGCACGTGCATTGTATCCGGTACCATGGCATTGGGACGATTGGACTCTCCCTGATCGATGAACAACAACCCTACCGTAGCCCGTATGAGCAAGCAGCATTTGCAAGTGTATAAAACCATTGAAACAAACTCTTTTGTGGGGCTTAGAGCACTGCACTGTAGGATGTATAGTGACTGTTTACTGGAAAGAAGATAGAAGCAAAAAAGTAAGATCTTCGCCTAATGCGAATGTTGTTCATAATACTAAGCGTATACACTAGATAATATCGTACCCTGGATTTTTAAGTCCGCCGTTTGTATTCTTGAACGTGAAAGAAGTACCTGTCTCTGGCGTCTTGGGAGAATGACCGCCGACCTGTTTGGTATCCTGCTGTAAAATATAACCCCCTAAATAATGTCGGGAGACCGCTCATAACGCTTCTAAGACAAATAAAGGGAAAACAAAATAGGATATAAGACAAAGCTAAAAGAAAATCCAAGATGGACGTATTAGAAAGACATCATTTGAAGAAATCTCAAACCTGCTGACCGGGCGTGTGAATGTCCACGGTACGGATACTTTCGGGATAGACCGCAAACTCCGTCGTAACCTCGATCGCATCCTTGTCTTTATCCGGCCAATTCTTGAGCGCGGCGTTCTTAGGATTGGTGGGCATGTGTGATCCATAAACAGCCAGATCCTTGACCAGTTCGTCTTCCGAATCGGTTCTCGTGATTGGCACCCCGTTGTTGCGCACTTTATTATGGGTACCACCACTCACTGTAGCGTGGTTATGCGAGGCCAAGTGGCTGTGTTTAGCCTGCGCAGATGATCCTAGTTCATATCCGCGGCTGGGATAAGTGCCATTGCGCGACGTGTGTCCGAGGATGAGAACGCGCAAGGTCGGGAGGCAGGTTGCGATGATAGCGACGGCGGTTTCGACCATGGAGACGGTGCAGGTGAGCATTGTTTCGTTTTTGTGAGAATATACTGCACGAATAACTAGATAATATCGCGTCAGTGCCTTGCAGGAAATTGAGAGTGTAGTAATTTTGATTAGTGTACTCACTCGACGCAACGACAGTGCAAAATCCGAGCGCAAAGACGCCGGCGACACCAAGCTTCTGTTTCAACGGTAACTTCAGGCGCGCCACCATGGTCAAAGGAAGGCAGATTATCAGGATGTCCGTGAAAATATTGAGTGTAATTGTGAGCCAGTAGTTGATTACCGATGCACTGGGAGGACAAGCCTGGCTGGGGTCGGTTGACCATATCCGGCTGAACGGGTAGCACCTGAAAACTGTGTCGAAGAAAATTACGACGTACGAAACCAAGAGCCAAATGAGCGTAGCGTTGTAAATCTTTTGAAGGGATGTACGGTCTGCCAGGCGCTTATAGAAGACAACCAGAGCTGACTTGATCAACCATAGAGAGAGTGTGTAAAAGATTGATCCAGGGAAGATGAGCTGAAAGATGAGGTCAGAATTTGGAAAAACTTTACAGTTGCAGACTGGCATACCTTCATCATTTCAACAAAGTGAGGCCGAGTAACATGTGCCATGTCGGTTAGACCGATGTTGTACATCCTTTGTTGGATGGCCAGGTCTATTACTAGGCAGCCAAACGCGGCTGCTATCAGGTAGTCATCCACGTAGAGACCGCCCATTTTCCTCCAACGCACGGCAATTCTCGTTACCAGGAAGAGGCCCGCCGCAGCGGTACAGATGTACCAGGACACCTTTGGAACGGATCAGTACGACGCACTATCACCTGTGGGCACTTGTGCGAACTCACCACCTGACCGAGTGTCGAATCCAACATGGTATTGGTGTATAGGTAAGGTAGATGGAAGAAAGCTGGGAGGCGCGGGGGCGGCCGGCAGTGTGCCTTTTTCACTCGTACAAGAACTCCACAGCAGCAAGTCTAGCCCTACCCCGTGAATCGTAGCTGAGGGCCCGGATGGAGGTCCGCGGATCAGCCAAATGTGCGCTGATCAAACGTGGATGCGATGGCCGATCCCTGCCGCACATCTGGACTTCAGCCGTGGCCCTTGGGGTTGCAAAGGAGATCCTTGATCCATCGCGCTACTCTCCTTGACAGCCAGGCTGCCTGAAATATCGAGGCCATGGCACCGGGTTTTCTAAGGGAGCCTTGCTAGCAGTTATGTCACTGACCCAAGGATGAACCAACGACCCTGTGGCAGCCATCTTTTGACTTGATCTCGTAAAATTCAGCACCGCCGGCGAAGGCTTTCCTAAGAGCGTAAAGCACAACGGGCCGAGAGCAGGGAGATCCCAGGAATATCACGTTGGCGGGAGCGGCCATGGCGGAGGCTAGAGTAGAAGTTGGGCGTAGTTAGGTGTTTGGCGGGCCGAATGGACTGGCCACCGGCCAAAGCTTGAATCGTGACGACGACGTGGGACGGCGTACGCCCGTACATAGGTATGAGCGGATGGGACGCAGCCGTGGAAATTTGGTGTTTTGATGGACGATGCAATGGTGCGGTCACCGGCCGATGTTTGAGATGAGGTTGGTGGTGTCGCAGCCCTAAGGTACGGTAGGTACGTAGGTAGATCGATCCGCCGACGGCCGACAGCCGGTGCCTCGGTTTCTCGCTTAGCGGGAGAGCTGCAATTCCATCACAATCGCCATCACCCTGCTTCGTCTTGCATACCTATACAAACCCCATTCCACTGAACGCGTCAACGGCGTATGGCCTCGCAATTCGAGCAACATGGCTGCCTCGGCATCATTTTCTTTAGCCCAGGGGCAACGCATGCGCCTCGATCGCGTGAGATCTGGTTCCTGGGCTAGCGGCCGTCGTTCCTGAGGTCTCGCCAAGGCTGCGCCACCTGCAGGGCAAAAAAGTTTCCCTCGCCAGATGTGAGCCCCTGCGGCCCGGCACCCCCTTTGGTCTTTGCCCTCTGCGCGGGGCGGCTAGCCTTACGAATGTGCCTATTTTGCCCTTAACGGCAATGACCACAGCGGTGTACGGCTTTCGCCGTCTGAAGCCCAAGCACCTGCGGAATTTTGGTCGAGTCCAATTTCGAGCCGCTCGCCTCATGGATTCCTGCAGACTACTTCTTGCACCACTTTCCTCGATCTATTTCTCACGCTCGTCCGTTTCAGCCAACCCGGCTTGTCATCATCCCTACTTAGTCTCTATACTTTAGTCCTTAATTGTCGTCACTGGAACCACCTATCGAACCACCTTCAACTTTAACCGCTTACAATGGGTGTTGTTGCCGATTTGCTGCAGAAGGCAGCATGCTTTGCTATCACTACCGGCGCTCTCCTCAAGGGAGATGCCGGCGCCTCCTGTAACGGTGTTCCCTCAGCCCTGACAAGCCAAGGCGTGGTTCAGGGCTATCTGGAGGACGGCACTGGCAACCACGTCTTCCTCGGCGTTCCCTTCGCCGCTTCCACTGCGGGGCAGAACCGGTGGAGGGCGCCCCAGAGCCCCAAGAAGTCTCTGGACTTTTACAACGCCACCAGCTATGGCCAGACTTGCGCCCAGGCTGGCATCAGCAGCTCCCTCGCGGCCCAAGGTGAGGACTGTCTGAATCTCAACATCTGGGCACCTGCCAGCGGCAACAAGCTTCCCGTAGGATTTCTCCTAACTGTTCATCCCTATGCGTCAACTAGAATAACCACGACTAACGGCACTATAGGTCTTTGTCTACATCTACGGTGGTGCTATGGTTACTGGAGGTAGCAGCAACCCTCAATGGCAGGGCAGCAACTTTGCGCAGAAGGATGTCATCTATGTCAACTTCAACTACCGCGAGTCCATCTTCGGTGCTCCCCATGCTACCGAGTTGGCCAATGGCAAAGTCTCTCAGAACTTCAACATCCTTGATGTTGAGGCTGCCATCCAATGGGTCCATGATAACATTCAGGGTGAGTTGCCCAGCACGCTGTTGATCAGCAAAATGACTGACATTTGTAGCTTTTGGTGGTGACAACACCAAGATCGTCATTGGTGGCCACTCTTCTGGCGGTGTGATGGTTGACCACTATCTGTGGAACAACCCCAATACCTTTGTCGCTGGTGCTATCGAGATGTCCGCCAACGCGCAGTCTGGCCCCAACTACGCACCGGAGAATGTCGGCATCGAGACTATTATGGCCGATGTCTCCGCGGCCACCGGCCAGACCATTACCACCCTGGACCAGCTCCGCAATGTGTCTATCTACGACATTGAAAGTTCCACCTTCAACAGCACCCAGAACGTTTGGTTTGCCCCTATCGTCGACAACATCACGCGTTGGGCCGACCTTCCTGCACGTTACAAGGCGGGCAACTTCCCCAAGAGCCTGCCTATGATCGTCGGCAATAGCGACCAGGAGGGTGCCATCTTCCAGTACGCATACGCTGCCGAAGTCGGCGACTTCGACACGTGGATTAACACGTACGACGCTGACCTTGCCTTCATCCCGGACGAGGAGCTGCTTGCCGCGTACAACTCTTCCGAATTCAGCAGCGAGAAGCTCATGAGCGCCGACAGCTACGCGGACGCGCGCTTCTGGTGCGCGACCGACTACCTGCTGGACCTGCGCGCTAGCACAAACCCGACGTGGGCGTACCGTTGGTTCGGCAACTACGACAATGTGCTCCCTGTTCCCGGTCTTGGTCCCAGCCACGGCTCTGAGGTTCCCTTCTTCCATGGCGGCAACCAGTGCTTCGAGGCTGTCAGCGACGTCACCGACGCTGAGCAGAAGCTCGCCGACTACATGAACGACATGCTTGTTGCATGGATTAAAAACCCCTCTGCCGGCCCCGGTTGGGACAAGGCCACACCTGTATCGGGCCCGTTGGCCAAGTTTGGTGTTGAGGATTCTGAGCTGGAGACCCTCATTGGCGATACCGCCGACTACAACGCCCGCTGCCAGAACCTTTACAAGAAGCACTACCCCTCCTACCCCGTCGTCATCGACCCCACTGCTTAAACAGTCTCTACCTCCATTCCTCTGGACTCGCTTGCTCCGCAGACGTCTCTCTCCATTAGAGCTTTTTCCTATTTCTCTTCTTCCGAACCGCTGCATGTCGGCTCGGTTCTGCTCTGGTCCGCCAGTACTTTCCTTCTTGTATGTATTTTTTTTATGTTTCCCTGGCCTCAGCCATCACCGTCGCAAAAGCAACGGATGAATGGACCAGCGCCATCTCTTATCTTTTTTGTAATGCTCCTATGAGCGACTGCATTGCTGGCATGGGCATGGGAATTTGGCTGGCATTTGGCAGGCGCGGGTGTCGGTTGGTTGGATTGGCGCGCGGATAGATAAATCAGTTAGCTAGATAGCTGCGGGTAAATTCGAGATACCATTTGTTTTCTGTTGACACAATCGCCTGGCTGAGGATTCTTTACGCGATGTTGTTTGTGGCATAGATACCTCTGTAAGTAGGTAGGAAGGCGGATGACGTACAAATCCGGCACGACTCATGCAGCAACCGATAGTTACCCCACACGTCTGGCAACATAAAGGTGAGGATCGCCATTGTTTTTCTGCACTCCAACACCTCTAGCCATGGCTACCGCTGCGACTGCGCCCTTCATTCCCACTTTTGACAAGGCTACGTCGGAAGCCGCGCGCGCAGGAGCCGCCTCCTACCTAGCATCACGCCTTAAGCCCTCCGCTCCCGCTGACGCTTCGTTCACAATCCCAACCATTGACATTGCCCCTTCCTTCTCGTCGAGCATTGAAGACCGCAAGACCGTGGCCGCTCAGATCCGCGCTGCTTGCATCACCTCTGGCTTTTTTACCATAACCAATCATGGAATCCCGGCCGAAGTCTGCGACGACATCCTCAACCAAGCCAAGCGCTTCTTCCACGACCTCCCTCACGAAAAGAAGGAGGCTATCCATATGAAGCAGAGCACGCTGCACCGTGGATACGAACCTTCCGAGTATACCAGTGCTGTGGGCGAAGCCGAGACTAAAGAGGGCTTCAACTGGGGCTACGAGACGCGCCTCGACTCAACTGGCGGAGATGGCAAATACGTCGAGGTGGACGGCACCACATATCCCGAGGGCGCGAACCTGTGGCCGTCCGAAGCAGACCTTCCTGGTTTCTTTGAGGGCGTGAAGTCATACTACAGCCAGGTGCTGGGGCTGGCGAGGCACATGTTCAGACTGTTCGCGCTGAGCTTGGGTCTGGAGGAAAACCACTTCGACGAGATGATGACGCATCCTGGTGGCATTGCGAGGCTGATGCATTACCCTGGCGCTAAAGATCCAAAGCCGTTGGACCCTAATGAAAAGGCGGACGAGAATCTGGGTTTGGGCGCACACTCGGATTATGAGTGTTGTAAGTTTTGGTGGTTAAAGTGGACAGTGAACATTTTTCTGACATTTTCGTACAAGTCACTCTCCTCCTGCCCTCCTCGACCCCGGGTCTCGAGGTTCTCTCTCCTACTGGCCATTGGATACCCATCAACAAGGTCCCCGGCGGTCTTATCGTTAACATAGCCGATTTCTTTATGCGTTGGACGAATGACATCTATAAGTCAACTGTACATCGCGTTGTGAACCGGACGACAGATGCGCGGTACAGTGTACCATTTTTCTTCAGCATCAATTATGACCAGAAGGTCGAGGTATGCTGTCTAGGTTTTGTCGCCCACACGACAATGTACTGACAGAGACAGACACTCCCGAGCTGCATTTCGGAATCCAATCCGTCAAAATATTCCCCGATAAAGGCGGGCGAGTATATTCTAGAGCGCTTGAATGCCACGACGAAGGACGGAGCAGGGTCGTATGGCAACTCAAATCTCGATGCATGATGGGCAGAAATTTGGCTGCCATCATAAACTGGTAGATTACACGTGGGAACCACCGAAATGTCCCTCTCAGACCCACGTCGTTCATTTTCCCATGCCACTGTCGCCCACCTTGCCCCTACTACCCGCTAGTTTACCGGCTTCATCTTCCATTATTGCCTTCAGCGGTAAAGCGCGCGGATCCAAGTCAACCACAGTCTGATCATCAATTCCGGCAATCAATAGCCCACACTCCTTCCAAACCCGTCCTCGCGTTATTATTTCTGTCCGCCGTTGCCGTTCCCGCTCCCAACAAGCGTAGCCGCACCCGTACCATACTTCGTATACGTCTCACCCATCCATCCACCACCGCTTACGCCATCTTCACATCGCACCATCCTAGTACGCGCGCGCGTGACGCAGCAATTACATATTGAGGGCGCTCGCTCTCGCCTCCATCCACGGTTGCTCTGCCAACACGCCGTGCCCCGCCGCCCGAGAGCTAAAGGGAACCCACCACATTCCTGTGTACGCGGACAGGCCTTCCATCCCGTTCGTAAAAAGATTCTTTGGCAATCCCGTGGCCGCCGGCGGCGGCATGACTGAGCAGTGAGTCAGCGTTCGCGGACACGATGGTGCAATGGTCTTCGCTCGTATTCGCCACGGCAGCGACGACGTCAATGATGGAACGATAGCGCCCGATAGTCGATGTGGAGTGAATCAGGTGGCACGGCCATGGCATGGCGTGGGCTGACCCCGCGCTGTCATCGTCGGCGTCGTTAGATACCTAGATACTAGCTGGTTGCGCTTCAGGCTTCCACCGCCCTTGACTCGTCAGCGATACGAGAAGCTCACTATGCATCTGCTCCACCTCACTCATCTACACCGCTTCCAACTTCTAACCATTCATCTTTGGTGCAAGACTGTGTTTACTAGTTTGTTCCTGATGCACGTCTTGTCGATTGACACATCCTTGAGGGCATCCAGTACATCTGGCCAGCCCCTTGTCATGATCATGGAACGAGCTTCTAAGAAAATTCATTGCTTGAGCGCCAAGGATTGTTGGAAACCAAATAAGTGTCGAATAATGGCAATAGTGCCTAATGATTCCGAAATAGTAGCCCGCGTTTTGCAAAACGCGTGGCTAGGGGATAAAGCATAAAGTAATACTGCGGAAACGGACTTCTCTTCCCAAGAGAAGCGCTCCTTGGGGTATAATACAGCGAAGAGACAAAAATAAATATTCGGCTTCTCCAAGCAGGAAGCTCGTAGACGAAACCAAGAAAATAACAACGTTCTCCGGCCAATGTATCGGGGACGGGCAAATTTTGTTTTGGTGAACCAATCACTCTTCCAATGCCTTTTAGACTCTCTCACCAGTCGGCAGATCAACACTCCGCTTCCTCTCCCTGTCAATGATTGGAACCGTAGGGTTCTGTGCGGCGACGTTTGCTAGGAGACTTCCTGGCGCAAACTGGCTGCTCTCCGACATGTCTAGCATAGGTCCTTTCGCCTTCGATCCATCCATCACTCCATGACCATGGGGTGGTATTGGAGCTGCTGTTGTATATTCAGGGTGCGCGAGCAGCCCGCGACCAGTAAAAGCGTCGTCGCCGCTCTCGGGCACGTTCGAATGATTGTTCATAGCACCGTGGATCTTCATGCCGTGACCTCTCAAACTCTTTGTCCGATCTGCACTAGGGCCGCTGCTGGTCGCTGGCCTGGTCGCAGTACTCCGCCCTCGCCAATCCTGGCTCGGAGGAACGGCAATTACTACGTCTGGGCTGGTTGCCGAGTCAATGAGGCCGCCTGGTCCAACATGATCGGGATGGAAGCCTTTGCCCTTCTTTTGAAACTGCGGCGGTGCTTTGTATTGCGGCGTCAGGTCGACAAGTGGTTTTGGCATTTCACGCCCGTGGCGCGTGGTGTTCGAACGCTTGACATCGCCCGCATGGCCTGCGCCACGAGTACTACGCACGGACGACATGCGTTTAGGCATGGCGTCTTCTGCAGATGCGTGCGAAGAATAGCCATCAAGATGGTTCTTAAGAAGCGAAGGACCTTCAGTGAAAGGACCGCCCTGCTTGCTGGCAAGCTCACGCTCACGTTGCATCTTCTGACGCTGCGAGTATGCACGTCCCAAGAGACTGTTGGCCGCAAAAGTACCATCATCCGAAGAGTCAGTTGCTGACTGGCTTAATGGGGGTTCGGTGGTTGCAGCCATGTGAGACGGGAATGCGACTGGGGGTTGGCTGCGACTCCGCAAGGACATTTTCCGCGTGTACATCTCTTGGCTGCTCGTCGTCCCACTGTCCTTATCCTCGGAATGGAAAACGCTGCTTTGTTCTAACACTGGCGGTTGGTTGAGCCGGCCTACGTCGATCAATGGTTTGAACGACCCTAATTGATAGTGGGAGTCGACAGAGTTGGCTGGCCGGTGATGAGCTTGCGTAGATTGGCTGGCAGATGCCGAATGTGTCTCTCCAGCATCGGGTGCTGATGTATCCGCGGCTGTCTTTGATTTCTTTGAGCCCTCTCCCAAGACGTTTACCAAGTACCAACTCCTCCAACCCTGGACAGCATTGTAGAAATCGGCCGCATCGTCCTTGTGACCAGTACACATGAAATGGACGAAGTTAGAAGTAGAAATGAACATGGTGGATTTTTGTTGGCTTTTGATGGCGAAGCAGACCTTCTTAGGCGGTTTGACCTTTTCTGCAGCGTTACGGGCAGTGGGCGTGTAAATGTCAAAGTCCGAAAGGTGGCACATGTTGCTGGAGTCTTTGCCTGACTCGTTCTTTGACAACAGTATCTGGCCGTCGTTACGGAGCGTAACCCATTTTTTGGTCCACTTTCCTGGCTTCTGCGAATAGTACATTGAGCAGGACAATCCTTGAGGCTTGTCTGCTGGTACCGAGCTAGCACTCAAGTCATGGTCGTTGCCTCCAGTCGGAGAATCGACCAGGACCAAACTGTTCTGGTTGTCATCATCCCAAGAGTTCATGATGTCCCTGACGCGCTCATAGTGACGAAGCGGCCGCTGCACGCCAGCCTTGCTGAAGGCCTCGAGGAGGACGGACGCTTTGGCATCAATGGGCTCTGCGAGACAGGTCGACGCGGATCGAATCAGGTCCAAGACAGTAGTGGTGGGCGTGACGGGAAGCAGGATCCTAGACCGATTGCACTCGACGAGAACGCGACGATCGCCCGCGTTGACTGCCGAAATCGGTGCGTCAATGCCAGGCACAACGCCTCCTCCCCCCGGCCTGATGGTATCTGGCAGATCATCGCTGACTTGTCTCTGCCTGCCATGACCAGAAACGTCGGCTGACTTGGCCGGTTCCTCTTCTTTGCGCCTGCGCAAGAATCCAAACTTTCTCTTGGGTTCAGGGCTCTGAGGGGATGGTGGCATGACAGCTCCGTCGCCGCCGTGTTGAGAGCTGCTGTTCTTGGCAGTACGCGGCCTCTGACGCTCGACCAATCGCTCATGTTCTTCCTCATCTTTCCGTGCCAGTAGAGACCTCTCCCGCGATGCATCCTGTCGCGCACGGAGGTCTGCAGCTCGCTGTTCCAAGCGGCGTGAGCGCTCAGCTTCCTCGGCCCTGGCACGCTTTTCGGCCTTGAGCTGGGCGCTGAGGCGGGCCTGATGCTCAGCTTCGGCATCAAGTGTTGGCCCGCCTGGGTTGGACTGGGCGCGGGTGAGGGGGGAGTTGTCCTGGGCAGGGCATGGTCCGACCGGCAGCGTTCCCGCGCGTTTTATGGAGCCGGGCATGGGAGGCGCATGTGCAGCGTGGGAAGTAGCTATGGCGGGCCGCTGACGGCGGTATCGCGACATGCTGCGGCTCACAGTGTCCATGCTGCTGGTGTGGGGGACTTTTTGCGAGGGGATCTGGGGTAGCGGCGGGAGCGGGTCATGGTGGTGGTGTGTTTCCTCCGGCTGCTGCTGCTGCTGTTGCTGCTGCTGCTGCTTCCTGACGGAGCGGTAGCGCGACAGGGTTTCTGCAGCCATGGTGACACGACGGACGGCGGGAGGACAAACAAACAGACGGAGAGAGGAAGAGAGCAACAAAACAAAAGGAGCGCGCCGGGAGGGCAGCTGCAGCGGGGGGGTGTGCGGCCTGGCGGGCGGTAAAGGTATTGCAGGGCCGGGGGCGCGCGCGCGCGAGACGAGACAGGCGTGTCCAGACCGCCGGAAGGGGGTTTGTGAAGGTAAGGAACGCTGATACGGAAATTACGAGTCGATGCGACTCTCTCTCTCTTTCAGCCAGCTCACGCCGCTACCATTTTCACAGCGGCCGGGGAGGAGGCCACCAGAAGGTTAAAATAAAAAGACCCTGCCCGTTGCTCGGCACTACGGCCTGCCAACCCTGACACCATGGAACCCCGGTTCCATCGCCTAGTGGCCTTGCTGCTGCTATTCGCCGTGCCGCTATTCCTATACTCCAACTCGTCGCTCCTGGCGCGGCGCTACTACGAGGATGCGAAACAAGCGCCGCCGCCGACTCCCTTTACCGGCGGCCAAGACTACATGCATCCACAGCCCGCCAATGCCACCTTGGGCGTGAGTTGACTTTCCATTCCCCCCAGTCAGCCTCCCTCCCCCGGCTGACTCGCCCGCAGTTCGGTGCCGTGCTTGCCGTCTCGCGCGCCGCCTCGCCCCGCCGTCATCACCTGCTTTTTGCCGCAAACTTGACCGGCATCGACATCACCATCCCCGATCAGCCCGTCTGGTCCGATCGCCAGGTCGCCGCCTTCCGCGCCCACAATTCCACCATCACTCGCGGCTCTGCCTTGGCTTGGATGGGCCATCTGAACGCCCTTCAATGGTACCCGTCCTCGCCCCACTGCCATTGACTTGCTCCCGCTGACATTACCCCCCCAGGTTCCTGCGCTCCGGCCTCGAGACGGCCATCATCCTCGAGGACGACGTTGACTGGGACATCCACCTGCGCACCAGGCAAGTTCCCCTTGTTTCGGAGAACCTCCAGGCGCTCCTGGCCTCCAACTCCACCTACTGGAGCGATCTAGACCGATGGGAGATCCTCTACCTCGGCCACTGCGGCGATTTCTTCAATTCTGACAAGTTCGACCGTACGGCTCATCGCATCTTCGCCGATGACACGATGCTACCGCACGACAGGTTGCACGGAGCGACACCAGAGTTTCTCTCGAGTCTCGGCCTGCAAGATGGTGAGCGTGTGATCCACCGCTCCCAATGGCCTTTGTGCACCTTTGGCTACGCCGTGACCCGTGCCTCCGCTCACCGTATAGTGACTGACTTTGCCGCGCGTGAACCAGAAGGTGGTTGTCAAGCCTTTGACGTCCGTCTCCTGGAGGCTTGTCGTGACCAAGAATGGCAATGCTACACTGCAAATCCAGAACTGTTCCACCACGTCATGGCTCCTTCGGAAATCGCCGAGGTCAACGAAGGGATCACTCCTGGAAAGGCAGCGAAGAAGCTAGCAGACACACCAAACATTGCTTGCAGCGCAAGATCAGACTCGTTCTACACCGAGAATGCGGCCACACTGGCCTATCTGCAAGTAGAGGTGGGCTTGAAGGGTCATTGTTTGATAGACGCCATGGGAAAAGACGCGGAGTAGTTATCCTTTCTGGTGCAGGAGCATAGATACCCCTAGAGCTTATTTATTTTCGCAAGAACAAGAGCCACGTTGCTGCATATACAGGAGTTGGGGTCGAATTATAGAGTAGGTGCAACTATCTGAATTTAACTAAATTAGATATCGATCACATGACGTCGCTTTGCTCATGACGTACTAGTGCACTGCTCGTGCGTAGGTCAGGGTGTCAGACTCAGGGTGGGACCGATGGAAGGACCGTACCTGGGTCCGCCATCCCAAACATCAACAATAATGCGAGCTTCCCTTGACCAGCTGCCCCAAGAACTCCTATTCCAGATCCTGGATCAGCTCGACAAGCACCATCATGCATCCCTGGCATTGACTTGCAAAAGGCTCTGCATCGCCGCAGCCTCTTACCTGTTTTCCACCGTCCACATCTATCCTTTGGAGCATCGTTTGGCCACCGGCACTGAGCTTATTTGCTCGAATCCACGGCTTGCATGTCTTGTTCAGCACGCTTACCTTTACACACCTGAAGGGTGGCGGGTGAGCTTAGCTACACAACCCGTCTCGCAACTGATCGCTTGCTGAACTCATCGTACAGGATGAGTATGTCCAAGCAAAGCGGGGAATGACCGAAGATTTACTCGGGTTTGAAGATTTTGAGCGCCCACTTGACCTCATTTCCAAGCTCCCAAAACTCACACGCGCAACGCTGTGTTTCTCTAAAGTTTGCACGAAGCCATATACCATAAAGCATGTTCCATTCAACGAGTCTTATCGTTCACGAAGAGATAACCTTGAAGCGCTCTTCGCGGCCCTTGCCAATTCCGACTCGCCTTGCACTATAACAAATCTTTACATAAGAAACCTTCAAAACATCAATCACTCCGGGTTGACGCGGTCGGAGACTTTCCCTTCTGTCCTGCAAAAACTCGTGTCTTTCCGCCTCTCGATAGTCAACCGATATGCGGATTCTCGATGGGGAGGTCAACTTCTTCAGCCTGAGTAAGACTATTGTGTACACATTCCAAGCAAGGACCAACTAATGACCTTTTGGTATAGAGCTCACACTTTCATGGATGAATTTCCCCGTATCTGGCTTCAGCCGTTGGCAACTACGAAGAACTTATCCCGCCTGTTCCTATATTCAGACGCATATTTCGGCTTCTGCCCGAAGTTAGAGTTACGCGGGATTCATTTTCCTAACATTCAGACACTAGCGCTGGGTGGTTTTACTTTCAGCCATGATTGGCAACTGGACTGGCTTGTGTCCCACAAAGCAACACTGAAAAATCTATACCTAGATAATTGTGCACTCATCTACCAGGCCATAATATACAGCACAGTAGACGCCGAAGGCTACTTCAAAGACATCGTCAGGCCTGATTTCGCAGCCGCGCCGCGCGATTCTTGGAGAAATTATCCACGCAGATGGTGGTGGTGCTTCGACCGCTTCCGCACAGAACTGCACTTGCGTAATTTCTGTATCGGGTACGGACCATGGCAGCAAAGAGGCCGGGACCCTGTCGAAGAGGTTGAAAACATGGAAATCTCTCTAGTTCCAAACCGGTACGTTTGCTTTGACGAAGGCATTGAGCCTTACCAATACACGGACAAGCCAGTGAGCGTCCTCAAAAGAGATGATGGTCGTCCGGTTTCTTGGGAGCCCCCGCAATGCGATCGAGAGGACAAAGATGCGTTATTGCGGCTACTAAAAGCAATTGGCCAGTCTGTGCCGCGGGGCTCGGACATAGTGCAGAAAGAATACAGGTTGCAAGACGGGTTTGTCATTTGGGACGGTACATGACTTGTTAAACCGACATGCGTATTACTTTGAGACACATGGGTCTATGGATCCTGGTCAAAATATTCGATCTGCCCGGCTTCTACATGGCAGCATCTGTTCGTGGAGAAACTAAGCAGGCTCGATTCACACTTTCCATGGGGCTTTAATTCATGTGAGCACTCACGTGGCACTGGGGCCAGAAACAGACAAGTATGAATGGACAATTCAAAACAAAGCCACAAAAAACCAGGGAGCTTGTGCACCAGTCCGACAGATTGACATCCGGGTCTCCGGGAATTTCCTTTTCCTAAGCGCTGCATATCCGTTGTGCGACAAGGTTCAAAGTCCAGCTCTACTTCGATATTGCTTTTCCTAAAACCGCGAATGATTCGACAGAATAGCGGTGCTGATTGGCTAGAAAGGTTGCGTTATCTGTCCAACGCCACCATTAATTTGTCGTCCCCAAGCCGGCTGATCAGTTGCCGGAATTCCCTGGCGGTAGTGATATATTGAGGAATTTGACTCTGACGTTTGATCTGATTGATACGAAGCGTATGTTCTTGGTGGAACGGGCGACTTACGGGCCTGCCCGCTCTGTCCAGTGCCGGATACGGACACTCAGCGAGGAGCCAAGCAGACCAAGGCTGGGGTAGCGAGCCACCTCAAACTTATCGCTATCGGCCCCTCGGCGTGATACGACATGCCCGATGCTAGGGTGGTGCTGCATGCGGTATGGTGATCTAATAAATCAGGCTTCGTACCTCATGAGCGTCTCGTTGCTCTCCTTCCTCCCTATCATGCAGCTTAGCTTCAAGCGACCAAAGCTCCGGGTCGAGCAGGCCAAATCGCAGTTTGCCGAGGGGAGTGCCAGGTGGTGAGGTGGCCCGCTACGTTCAGGGCATGCTTGGTCTGTCACTGATATTCAGTATCTAGGACAAACGTTGATCTGGATCCTGTCCCTCGGCATGCTCGCAAGTGGGGAATTACCTCTTTCATCTCGTATTGGATCAGTGACGCATTCAAGTAAGTCTTTCAAGTAGGAGTATCTTTGCTGCTTGGCAAATTGGTCCTTAACAATCTTTCCTGCGTTGATAAGAGCAACTGAGTGTGCGCTGACCGAACGGCTCATCGTAGCGCGGCAACATGGCAATTTGCGTCGTCTATAATCGCCGTCGGCCTGACATGGCGCGAGTCGTTGGGCATTGTCGCGCTTGCCTTCTTCATAATATCCTTTGTCATTGCATTTAATGGAGCAACGGGTGTGATTCGTATGATCGCCTGCAAGGAAATGCTTGCAGTGAGAGTCACTGACATTTACTCAGACCATGCGCCATTCCCTGTCCTCGCACGAGCAAGCTGGGGCTTCTGGGGCTCCTATGTTGCCATTGTCTCGCGTGTCATCCTCGCCATATTCTGGTTTGCAATTCAGACCATGAACGGGGCGAACACCGTGAGTGTTATGATCGGTAAATCCCCTTACAGAGATCAAACTGGCACCACACTGACCTCTGGAGCAGGAGCAATATGGCCTTCCTTCCTCACTCTACCAAATCACATTCCGGAGGATGAGGGCATCGCCACCAATACCATGATCAGCTTCTTTATCTTTTGGCTTGCCCAGATTCCATTCTTGTACATGCATCCTAACAGTCTCCGCTGGCTCTTCATGGCCAAGTCCATCATTGTGCCCATCTGCTTCATCGCCATCCTAATCTGGGCTTTCGTCTCCACGAAAGGCATGGATATCTTTGATCAGAAATCGACACTCCACGGTTCAGCCTATTCGTGGGCTTTTTTGGCGAATCTGACCTCAATCATCGGCAACTATGCCACCCTGTCGGTCAACCAAGGTACGGCTTGCGAGATAGATGGCATCGTGACTCAAAAACCGAGCTGACAAACAAACCACCAAGCTGATTTCAGTAGATACTCGCGGATCAATGTCAAATGGCAGATTCTCTACGTCCCAATGCTGCCCATTGTCTTCACTTTCATCTCTTTCATCGGGGTTGTCGCCTCATCTGCCGGCGCATCCAAATACGGCGAACACCTCTGGGACCCGATGAGCCTCATTGCCATGTGGCCGAACCGGGCCTGTCGCTTCTTCGCAGCGTTCAGTTTCGCGCTCGCCGCGCTCGGCGTCAACATCTCTGCCAACAGCCTGTCGGCAGCCAATGATCTGACAGCGCTGTTTCCGCGCTTCGTGGACATTCGGCGCGGCCAACTGCTCTGCGCCGTCCTCTGCTGGGCCCTGGTTCCGTGGAAGATCCTGGAGAGCGCGGGTAGCTTCCTCAACTTCATGAGCGCTTACGCCGTATTCCTGGGCCCGATTGCGTCCATAATGTTGTTTGACTTCTGGGTCATACACAAGCGTCGCTATGACACACGGGCGTTGTACGAGCCTATGGGTATCTACAGATACACCTACGGCGTCAATTGGAGAGCCGTTACGGCGTTCGTGGTTGGTGTCGCCCCAAACTTGCCCGGGTTCATCAACAGCATCAACAGCAACATCGATGTCGGCGTCGGAGTACATCCGTACCAATTCGGTTGGCTTTTGGGCTTCGTAGCGACGACTTTAGTTTACGTGACTTTGGAACTGGTCTTTGTGCCGAAGAAGACGATGATCGAACGCGCCGTGCTGCCCGATGAGGTTTACGACGCGATAGGATATCACGATGGCATCGAAGTTGTACCAGCCGAGGGTTCGGACGAGAGTGAAAAGATCGAAGAAAGAAGGGGCATCAAAAGCTGGGCGGACCGGATCCTGTGAAAGCTTTCTCTCTTGATGTCTACCCTATTAGTCCTGGGTCTGAAGCACTTTCGAGAGCTCTATGGGAATCTGCATCCAATGATTGTGCAACAATGAATACGTACAATTTCCTGCGTAGCTTTGTAACGCAGGTATGATTGAACTCGCCGTACTCCTTTGGGGTATAATTTTCCCGCTCTACAGCAACCGTATCATATGAGGAAACCTCTAGCGCACCGTGGGCAAACCATTGAAATCTCTCCCTCATATGCCGAACCAATTCACGAGTAGATGGCCCTGGCGCCAGGGCTGCCGCGCCCCCTCTCGTACAACCACCGGTTGTTCAATCCCACCGACGGGCCCTTCCCGTTGGCTCCAAGAGGCGTAGGCGATGCCGTCAGGCCGGATTGACCGAAACTGCTATCCAAAAGCGAACTGGTACTATAGCTCATTCTCTTGCTCGCGCCGGCGCCGCCGACGGCCTTCTGGAGCAGCGGCGAGGCAGACGGGCTAAACGGCGAGCCCGAATCGCCATATCCATAACTGCTGTCTAGACGGGGACTGCCGGAGTATGGTGAGCCATTACGGCGCTGCGAGAGGTGCTTGTCGTTGCTGCGTGGCGTGGCGCTACGCGCATAGCGCGGAGGCGTAACGTACGGAGACTCGGGCGTGCCAGGAGCGCTGGGGAGGGTAGGGTCGAGGCCCAGCAGCGCACGCTGCGAGGGCGTGAGGGGGATGTCGACCAGCGGATCTTTGGCGCGGAAAAGCGGGGCGACAGAGAGGAAGCAATTGAAGCTGAGGAGGGCGCGCAGAAGCCAGACGATGAAGGCAGGGTTGATGTGGACGGAGTGGAAGGCTTTCGGAATCCTATGCGAGAGTCAGTGGGGGAGAGGTGGTGGCGGCAGGCAATGCAAGCTCACTGGGTGTTGACAAAGGTCGGTGTGAAGGCGGGGAAGACAAAGGTTAGGAAGAGGATGATGAGGCTCGAGATGAGTGATTTGGCATGGGCTTCTCCGAAAGTCGCAGCGCTCTGGCGACGAGTGATCTCTTCGAAGCGCGGGTGGCGCCAGGTGCCGGTTGCGGGCGAGGCCATTGTGGTTGGTGGTTAGTATGGCAGAGTCGTGGGCCGCATTCTCGTGCCGTCGTGGTTGTGTTGCAACGCGCATGTTTGTTTTGCTGCCTCCGGGTCCTGCCCACGTGCCACATACGAAGTACATTCATGCGCCCCAAGCTCCAATGGAGCTTTCATTCACCTCTCACACCATCGCAGCACTCACTGTATGGCAACCGCAACTTGACATGGCTTTTTAGTTTCCGCCTACCGTACCGTCCTTTCTTTTCGACTTCCTACCGCCATGTCTTCCGTCGACCTGCATAGCAAAATCGACCCCGGCTCCGACCTCCACTGCCCTCCACTGTCACCTGGCACGAGGACCGCCCGCTTCGAAATCAAGTCGCAGAAGCCAACCGACTCTGTCAGCGAGATCGGCGATCCAGATACACTTGATACGAAGTATGATAATGCGGAAGGCTTTGTGGTCGTATGGCTTCCTCTCAAAGTATCTAGGCCTTCTGTAACGGGACGCTGATTCGTATTTCAGGACCTCCCCCGAGTTGTAGTAGTCCCAGCACAGCGCAACATTGTAGTAACAATAAGGGAGCCCCCTACTTTTATAATTGACGGTAAGACTGGAAAGACTATTCTCCGCCCGGAATATAGGTCTGTCTCTTCGAGGATGTTCAGCAACCGCACGCAAATGCCAAAGACACGCTTCCCGTCGAACATATCATCGGCTCGGCGTGCGAAATCAGCTAGCTTCAGCGTACCTAATCCACAACTAGCAATTCAACCTACGCGGCCAAACAAACAGAGATTCCCTGTTGAGGATAATCTTCTGTCGCCAACAAGCCTCGAACTCGGCCTACAGGCAGTGGAGCAATGGAACCCACCACTTCTACTAACATCTTCCACTGCCCCACGAATCTCCAGGATGTCAGTCTCACCTCAGGTTGGGGTAGTGCCAACCTCTATCAGTTTGCCTAAGGAGACACCCCTACTTCCTTCTGAGTCGGGTCTTCGCCTCCCTAGCACCGGTCGTTTCAAAATTATATCATTCTCTTCATCCAGGTCTTCACTTACTGAAGATCATACTCGCCACGAGAAGAAACCTGTTGATGCAGCTTCTTCTGCCAAGACAGCAGCATCCTCGCGATACCATACCCCCACAGTTGAAGATGACATATCTTCCATTGACATTCCTCATGTGTACCATACTGGCGACTAGTTCTGCTTCGTGCCGCCTTTCATTAATCTCTGCATTTTTCTCGGGCCCAACATCTGACTGCTTGCCATAGCAGCCTGCACTTAGTAAGTTTACGATATCGGAAGGCGAGAACTGAGTAGAATTGGGAAATTTGCTGCAATGAGCTTTGAGGCAACTATGAAGTACTGGTGAGTTTTACAGTTGTCTTCCACTGTTTATAAGAACCATCTCCAACGAACGTCATTTGTTCCTCCGGACAAGTCGCTCAATCTGACATCCTTAGAAACCGTCTTTACCCCCATTAGACGATCTCTACGTCTGTTGTCCCACAACATCCAGCACCTCAAAAACAATATCAACACCATGCCCATACCCTCGAAGCATGCAGAAGTTACCAGAAACAAGATGTAGCGTGGGGCATCTTGGTTCCGGAAGACCAGACTGGAAACGATACCTCCGGAATTAGCTGCGCCTGTAAGGAAACTCATAACGTAGATTCTTCCATTCTCCGTGTGCATGTTGCTTGCGTGCCAGGAATGGAACAACACTGTGGGTGTCATTGCTCCACCACATAACAAGAAACAGGCAAAGTATGAGAGCGCAATGTGCTCTGTCGGATTCACGCAAATGAGAATGATCCACCCCACAAACGTTATGAGCAGTGAGAGGATGAGATGTCCGCTCCGCTCACGGAAGTGGTCACTGGATCGTGCAATCATAAAGAGTATGACAGCTCCGACCAGGTTTGGCGCTACGGTATATAGGTTTGTCTTGAGCGTCGAGAAGCCCATCATCTGCACTATTTGCGGGAGGAACGATCCGACGGCATTGCCAGAAGTGCCATAGCAAAGCCCTATTACAGCCCAGGCATAACTGCTCTGAAGTTAGATGCGAGAACTCATTTAGTCGAGGAAGAGACAAACATTTGCCAAGACTTAAAGGGTTGCATGCCTTCCCTGAAGTTCCATGCGGAGCCAACAATGGAAGATGAGTCTCTTTTCCCTCGAGTTATACACATGGCCTTTTCTTCTTCTGTCAGCCAGCGGCACGTCCAGGGATCCTCAGGCAAAATAAGAGCAGCAAATGTTGCCACGAGTACAGTCAATCCACCTTCGACGATGAATAGGTATTGCCAGCCGTGCAAGGGACCACCTAGTTGGAAAAGACCGTAAGATATCATTCCGGAAAACGCGCCCGAAATGACGGTAGCTGTGTACCAAATGGCGAATCTGGTAGCCAGTTCGCCTCTGGTATAGAATGTGCTCATGTAAAACTAGAGTGTCATTAGCACAATCATTTTTGTTCAACAAAGATCACTGATATCAAGGGGACAACCTACCATCGAACATGGAGCAAATCCAGCTTCAGCAACACCTAAAAGCAATCGAACTGCCAACATCTGCGCAAAGTTCTTGCACGCAGCGCAGATCATAGCCATGGTTCCCCAAGACACCATGAAGGCGATCAGGAACCACTTTGGTTGATACTTGCGCGTGACAAGGTTGGCCGGCAGGCATAATCCGCAGAATGTCACGGAGAAGACCATGACCAAGACAGAATACTGGTTGCCCTTGAAATCGAGGTCGTCTTCCATACCGTCTGTTTTGGCATTACCCAGGTTGGAGCGGTCGATGCTGTTGAAAAAGTACATCAGAAATATCAGTATCATTACGCTGAAATCGAGCTTCCAGACGAGTTTCCGTTCTTTTTTCGGATCGACCTCTTCGACTTCTCCAACCTCCGAATCAGTGTTGTATTTCGATATTGGGCCAACGTCATTTCTTTGTTTTCTTGGGTCAATTGAGCTTGCTGTGAAAGGGGCTTTCGCTATGCTTGTTTCTGCCTCGAGGCGCATGGTGGGTGCAGATGGCTTTTAACAAAAAACTGCGCGCACTGTTTCCGGAAAGTGGTGTGGAAAAGGTGCGACGCACAAGGAACACTGAAGGGATGCTGGAACAACCAACCCTTAAGTTGAATTGCAAGAGATCGAATTGGTCTCCAGAGGAGATCCCAACTTATGGTGCCTCAGGATACGGGTGTCTATCCTGTGGCACAAAGTGGATAAACAAGATACCATCATGGCTGGCTCCCTTTGGCACTGCATCAATATGCATTCGACGCTAAGTTAGGGGGTTGCTGTCAGTAGTCGATAACGATGTATGCACGCCGATATTAAAAAGGTATAAAGCCAAGGTGGATATAAGAGCACTCGCCGATGCGAACCAGTACGCTGCGTTGCATGTAGTGTAAAAGCACGATAGGCAGATATGGTTGTCGCCGAAGCCTGCTTCGACCTTCCCGAGATGCGCGGATGACGGGGGATCGACATTCAAAAGTGGGCAACACCATTTCTCCGCTTCCGACAACACCATACGGAAAACGACCCGCCCATGGCGTGATCCAAGGCATGACCCATCAATCTATTTATTGAGGTCTTTCGCGCTCAGTCCGGAATACTGGACGGAGGGCACATGAGCCGCAATCATGCAGCCTCCTGGGAATGTTCTCATCGTGGGCTGCGGTGTTTTTGGCCTTTCAACCTGTCTATCCTTGTCGAAGAGGTACCCGAACTCCAAGATCACCCTCGTAGACAGATTTGAGCCACCTGTTCCAGATGGCACATCTGTTGGTGAGTAATCCCAATGACTCAGCAGAGATTCCATCAATGTGTGGGGAACTCGATTATCGAGATACCTCTAGACCTCTCCAGCAGGGTCATAGACTTCTTCGATTGAAATGCATTCTTCTTTCCGGATGACAATTTTTCAACTGACCACGAATCTCAGATACAACAAGGGTTATCCGCGCCGATTACCATGATTCTGTCTATTCAGAGTTAGCTCTCGAATCACAAAAACTCATTCAAAAAGACCCCGAACTGAACCGGTACTACTACCGGAGCGGAATGATTTATGCGCATGCCGGTTCAGGTCGCTATGGATCCGAGATCTGGGAAAAGGAATACTCAGCCGCGAAGTTGTTGCAGGAAAAGCGCCTTCAAGCTGGCGAGTTCTTCAACGAATACATCAAGTACCTCTCCTCCCATAACGCGCTTTTCACGCGTGTCAACGGAGATGGGCAACGCTCCAGTGCTCTTGAGAGAAATATGTGGAACGAAGGCTACCTCAACGAAGATGTCGCTTTTGTCAATGCCGAAGAATGCTTGAGAGCTTTTTACAACAAATGCAAACGACAACCGAACACAACCTTTTGCTTCGCTTCAGTAAGAAGACTGGTCGTGGAAAATGGAGCTGCCAAAGGAATTTTGCTCGAAAACGGTAACAAACTAGTTGCCGACCTCGTAATCCTAGCCACCGGTGCATGGTCAAATACGCTGCTTGACTTAAGATCCCAAATCACGGCAACCGGACATGAAGTGGCATGGCTAAAACTCACTCCGGAGATGGAAAAAAGATATAAAAACATGCCGGTAAATGGGCTCAATGTCACACGTATGGATCGGTGGTTGACATTGGATGCAGATTACGACGAATTTTACCACAGGGTTCAATATTTTTCCACCACTCAATGGGGAGCTGAAATGTCTGAGGCGTAGTCCCGGATATATCAACACCAGGACGGTGATGGATCCAGTATCTGATAAAACCTACGAGACATCATGCCCACCGGAATTACCAAGTGCTATCCCCGCAGATGCGCAGCAGGCACTACGCGCCAATCTTGCGGAAATGATCCCTCCGTTAGCATCCCAGCCTTTCTCAAAGACCAAACTTTGTTGGTTTACCAACACTCCAACGTCCGATTTCCTGGTTGATAGACACCCGGAGATTGCCAACCTAGTGATTGTGACCGGCGGTTCAGCACATGGATGGAAGTTTCTGATGGTCCTAGGAGAGAAAGTTACGGATCTGTTGGAAGGAAAGCTAGCTTCCGAACTTCAGCAGAGATGGAAGTTCAAGTTTCCTCGAGACATTGGACAAAATATGGAAGGTGCACCTAGAGCTCAAGGGGTCCGCCAGGAACTGAAATACTGCAAGCCGATTGCAGTAATTGGCGCTGGAGTCTTCGGTTTGACAAGTGCACTTCATCTGGCCAAGGCAGGATATAAAGACGTAACGTAAGAGTTTCCCGTCATACTTAAAACATCAAAGCCAAACTGCTAACTAGCAAAGGATATTCGATTACCAAGAATACGATAAGAATGGCTATTCCGTTCGTGAGGGTTGCGACGCCGCCAGTGCTGATGAAAACAAGATCCTCCGCGCATCGTACGGAGAGAGAAAAATGTACCAGGACCTTGCTTTCCAAGCAATGGAGGTTTGGCAAGAGTGGAACGAACAAGTTAAAACCTCAGTCATTCTCCCGTCTCATGTATCCAACACCGATCAGCTCTGGGTTAATTCTGGTTTCCTAAGGCTCAGTGACAACGGCCTTGATGAGCATGAACATATCACACAGGAGAACTTTCCAGCGGAAATCCGGCATACCCAGTACCGTATTACCGATCCTCAGCGTGTTGCAGATGCTGCCAAAAATGGAATCCCTGTCACTAAATTCGATCCTTTTGACCGTCGAGCTCGCGAGCTCTCAACCGATGGCATGTTCGATGGCACTGGTGGCTACATACTTGCCAGTAAAGCCTGTAGCTGGGCACTTCATCTTTGCAAACAGCATGGGGTAAAACTACGTCTCGGGCCTTCATATCGGTTTACCACCTGCAATTACTCTTGTTCTGGATCAGTTACAGGTGTCACTACTGCTGATGGGACTCTCCATCCCGCCTCACTTGTCATTGTTGCCTGCGGTGGCTGGACGCCTTCACTTGTCCCTGAATCAGACACTATAATCGAGGCTACTGCTGGCAGTGTATTGACTGTACGACTTCCCAAGAATCGCGAGGACCTGTGGAAGAAGTTTGATCCCGAAAATTTTCCCGTCTGGTCCTGGAAGATGTCATCATACACCAAAGATGTAAATCGCACTTCTGTCGGTGGACTCTATGGCTTCCCTCGTACACCAGATGGAATAGTGAAATTCGGATTCCGCGGTGCAAAATGGACAAACTACACACATGTCCGCTCAGGTGATGGACGTCTTGTCAGCTATCCAAAGACAGGCGAGCAGGAGGTTCCCGAACCTGCCATGGAGGTCGTGCAAAAGTTCTGTGAAGTGAATCTACCAGAGCTGGTGCAACTTCCTGTCGAAAAAGGACGGATGTGCTGGTACACGGATAGCACTGACAACGAGTTCCTGATCGACTTCGTACCAGACAGAAAGGGGTTGATGGTTGCAACCGGAGGCTCGGGCCATGGCTTCAAATTTTTGCCAGTGCTGGGAACGAAAGTGGTGGACATCATAGAAGGAAAGAACACTGAGTTCACCAGGGCCTTCTCCTGGAGGCAAAGACCAGCTGCTGGTAGTGCTAACGGGCTTGAAGAAGGGCCTGAAGGATGGAGAACGCTCGACAAACAAAAGATGACTAGCCAGTGGAAGGCGAAGTTACGAACTAATCACTCGCCCTAAAAAAGCTCTCTTTGAGACCTTGGTCAGAGCTCTAAGACTTCACACTTAGACAAACATTTTCGAACTTACATGCCATCATATGTTGCTTCCACAATCAAGCCCCTGCGTTGTAAGGCAGTACTTTAGGTCGCTCATCACTCCAGGTGCGTTTCAAGTAATCCCTAAATACTGTACGACTGTCGACTTGTAAACGTCGGATTATTATCATTCTCGTACCAGTGCGTAACACAGTACTAACACGATCATCGCAAAGCAACCAAGTATGTACAGTTTGACGGTAGGAGACGTTACCCCAAGATGACTTCGATATAAGAATATTGTAAACCTCCTTGGCAAAATCATATTGTTTACTGACGTGTACGATAGTCATGTTTTCTAGGACTAAATCAATCTTCGATTAATCTTTATTGCCCAAAACGTTTAATAGCTGTACCAGATTTTCCCCCATTCAGTTTTGTACTTCAGTCATTCATCGGGCCCCACCAATCCAAGCGCTTGCCGCCGAGTTGGAGCCTCTGGGTCGAAGTATGGTTTCTCAGCCAGGGCAGTCACTCTCGTACCGTGACGAGGCTCCTTGTTTGCATAATCCCAACTAGCGTTATGGATCGTAATCCTATGACAGAGTTAGCCTACAAAACTGCTAGCAGTATCTCAAACAACTAACCTGTTATCCCAAAGGGCTGATGTCCTGGGAGTCCACTTGAATCGCAGTTGGATATCGACATTCTTCTCATACACATCATAGAGGTAATTGAGGATCACATCACTCTCCGCTTTATCGAAGCCAACTATACGCACTGTCATCGCGCGGTTGACCCAGAGTGCCTTCCAGCCTGTTGCTGGATGGACACGGACTATAGGATGCTCTCGCTCGACGTACTTAGGCCCTTGTTCAGGGCTCTGACGGTCCAGGTAAGGATGTGCTGAACGGTAAATAGCTGTCTTGCCATCAATCAACTTGCGAAAAGAGGGAGACAGCTTCTCATAGGCAGCATAACCGCTTGCCCAAAGTGTATCTCCACCTGTTGAGGGGACCGTATCATTGTGAAGATGGGTTACTCCAGCAGGCTGCCGTTCGTGCACGAGATCGGAGTGCCAACGTGATGCACCGCCAGGGTTGCGAAAATTGGCTGGACGTTCAGTCGCCTTTCAGTCGGAAGTTAGTTCTGCTGTCACTAGCACGATATTATATTGTGCACTTACTTGCAATTCAGGCCAAATTACTGAGACACCGGGCACTCCAGGTACTTGAGGAACTTGAGGCTTTATTCGGTTAGCCTTCGTTGGGGTTCATTTGCATGTGTAAGTTCACTTACGTGGATTTCAATTTCACCAAACCATTCGCCTAGTTCTTTTTGCTGTTGGGGAGTGATGTCCTGGTCCCTGAAAAAGACTACACTACGCTCTGCAATCAAAAGCCCGAGCTCATCCCTTTGTCCAGAGGTCAAGTCTTTCAACTGGAGCCCCACGATTTCCGTTCCGATGTGGGCGGTGAGATCAACAACTTTTTCAGCTGCAGAAAACAACGATTTCTTCTCCTTGTCTGCGCGCGCGCCGGGGTCCTGGTGAGGTCGGTCGTAGTTACGGATGTTGTAGACATCATCGAGATAAAGTGGCTTTGCTGGGCGATAAGGGTAGCCGTTCGACAGATCGATTCCTGCCTTCTCCAGCCGCTTCCGGGCAGGCTCTGGAAGCCCCAAGGTGTCTTTTGGGGGTTGTATGACATCTTTGATAGAGGGGTGGATAGCGATTGGGGCCATGATGGCTACTCTTGGAGATGGCAAGTTCTGCGCCTGAAGCCACCTCTTCAACGTAAGACATTCCCTCAGGCTTTATACAGGATGTTACCCGCTCGGATATAGTGGAGCTGGCCAATGGATAGAGGGCAACATCACACTAAATCAACCCTCCATGACGCATTGCTTCGACGCGGTACAAGGGGCGGCATACTAGAAATTGTTGGAGACAGCCGATCGACGTATGGCGCCATCTCCGCTCACCTTTACGACATACGTCTAAAGAGGAGGAAATGCATGATACCCCTCAGCTGTGAGCCAATGACCTTCCCAACATATGTGTTGGTTTTTTGGACCCTCCATGTTTCGATGTTGCAATGGAGGTTCTGTCGGGCAAGCTCCGGCATGGGCATTGTGACGAAGACCCGACGCGAAACATCCACTCACCCACTCCTCCTCTTATCATTCCCCGCATCTACCCAACACTCAATGTCACGAAATGGCATGCTAGCTCGCACGCCATCCATACTGCTGTATTCATCAATCGTGTCGATTCCTCGGAAAATTCACAACCCCGGGTCAATGCCCGCTTGCAATAACGGGCGAGATGACTGTCAAGTTGGCCTAAAGATACCAACCGATCTCTATATTCACATCAGCTTTGTGGCTGTGCAGTCAAAAACGTAGGGTGGTATGGTTAATCAACATCGTTGTGCAGGCCTCGTGATTGGTATGATCTTAGGCCAATCTTTCAAGCATTTCCTTGGTCGTACCTTTCGATTTACTGTGCCGGAAGTCTGGTAAGTCCAGGCTTGATTTTACTTGATTGGGATTTAAGCACGCCATATGTTGAGCCAATTCGTGCACATCTACAGTGTGGGGTGCGGTATGATGTCCGGCAGTCTATATCGCTTGTCTGTACATACGAACTGAACAAGCGAACACTAAATATCTCACTGAGTATCTTCAAACCTTGCTTATGTGCATCTATTCCCCTCAGATTTTCTTCCTCTTCTTGGCTGTGGTCCCCTCAGAGAAGTTTCCTTTTTATTCACAATCTTCTCGTCCAACCTGAGTTCACTGAGCAATTTCAAGGCCTTCCCGATGACTGAAACAACAGAACAAAATCGGGAAAACGCAGTGCGTAAGAGTACTGAAAACAATTCAAAGGGTGTCCAATATGATTGGAGAGGTGCCATCTGGGATTCTTTGAACAAGTCTCCGGAAGAGCGTAGGTTTCTGTTCAAGCTTGATACAGCGCTTTTGACGTTCGCAACACTAGGTAAGTTGGAAGACACTCCAAGATGCTATCATCTAACATGCCTTAGGCTATTTTATCAAAAACCTAGATCAGTCGAACATCAACAGCGCCTTCGTTTCCGGTATGAAAGAAGATCTTGGTCTATATGGAGAACAACTGAACATCATGCAAACATGCTGGACTGTTGGCTATGTTGTGGGACAGCTGCCCAGTAACATTGTCTTGACTAAGTTCCGTCCGTCAAGATGGATTCCTCTCATGGAAGTAAGTCATAAGGAAGTGCATTTTCTGCAATCTATTGATAATTTCCTAGGTGATTTGGACAGTCCTTACGTTCGCCTTGTCCCGCTGCAATACTGCAAAACAGATTTACATTCTCCGCTTTTTCATTGGCCTCGCAGAGAGTACTTTCTACCCCGGCATGCAATACATCATCGGTAGTTGGTAAGTTCATATGTGAGCATCACCTGTAAGGTCGAGCTAAACCAGGACTCTAGGTACAGAAAAGATGAGCTTGCGAAACGCTCGTGCATATTTCATACCAGCAGTAGCATTGCAAGCATGTTTTCTGGTTATCTGATGGCTGCAGTGTACAGGTTGGATGGGCGAGGAGGTTTCAAAGGCTGGCAATGGTACGTCGAATCTTGATGTCAACAAATATTGTCGAATATCACTCACTGGCTAAACCACATAGGCTATTCATCGTCGATGGCATAATTTCACTTCCAATCGCCCTGGCTGGATTTATCGTACTTCCGGACGTCCCCGAGATCAGCAAACCTTTTTATTTGAAAACGGAGGAGGTGGTCTTCGCCCAAAAGCGGATGGAGCTCGAAGGGCGAAAACAAAGACAGCCCTATACTCGGGCCAAAATCAGGAAGATATTCACTTCTTGGCACATTTATGTTCTGACGCTGCTATACATGTAAGTCAAAACGATGTGCTGCCATACCCAATGAACCCGAAATCGGCTGACAACTCTGGAAAGTTTTTTCAACAATGGCAACATGTCTGCAGCGCCAGTCTTTGCTCAGTTCTTGAAGCTGAACAAGGAACACAAGTATAGTGTTGCACAAATCAACGCGTACCCCACAACAACTTATGCCGTTACTGTCCTTGTGACACTTATTTACGCTTGGTCATCGGATACTGTGCTTAGGGGTGCACGTTGGCCTCCAATGATCTTCGCAGGCGTAAGTCCGCGGCTCTTTCCCCCTTATATTGATCACACATCTTACTTGGTTGATAGCTCTGGAACATTGTCGTTTATACGTCTCTTGCTGTTTGGGATATTGACGAAACCTGGCATTGGGCCTGTTATATTCTAGGAGGACTTTCCGGTGGCCTTTCTGGTCTTTGTATGTCGTAAGTCTGCCTTGCTCGCAAGTACACAGTGTCAAATTTACTAACAATGTATGTCAAGATGGGCCCATGAGATCTGCGCTGGAGACAACGAGGAACGCGCCATTGTGATTGGCAGCATGAATCAAATGGCGTACGTCGTACAAGCTTGGCTGCCACTACTTGTCTGGAAACAGACGGATGCTCCAGAATATCGCAAGGGCTTTATAACGGTTACTTGTATCTCGTTTCTTTTGGTTGTTACTGCTATAGTAACGCGGGTGTTGCACCAAAGAGAGTTGGAGAGGTATATTAAAATCCCTATATTAGATTGAAGAGAATATACTAACCATTGTCTTAGCAGCAAACATGATACGGAGTCAACAATCGGAGAAATTATACCGGAAAACCAGTCATCGGGAGTTATCAATGTACAGGGAAAGTCGGATAGCACTGTATTTTAGAATGTACCTAGTAAATACTAGCTAGTATAGTCGCCTAGCAGCGACGCTAAACGCGTAGCCCCTAGTATTTATATTAGCCAGTACCTCTCAGTCCTTAGTAAGAGAGGACTATAAGCAATAACGTCCCTTACTACGAAACGAGATTAACCGTAATGCGAGATAGTTAATTAGCTCGTAGATATATTTTAATAGGTCCCCTATATAGATACCTTTACCTAGCTAGCAGTAAAGCTATTTTCTATATTATACATATTAGAGTAGTTAATTAATTTTAAAATATACTATATATTGGTATTTTTAAAATATATATACTTTAAAATATCTATTTCCATAGTAAAGAGATATAAATTTAATTTTTTTTTAAAAAAAAACTATTATAGATAATAAATAAATAAAAACTATTTTAAACCTATTATATAGATTAGACTATTTTAAAATAGTATATATAGTCTTTTTCTAAATAATTTTACTATATAGTTAATTTTATTTTATAGGTAGATTTTTTTAGTTTCTTCTCTAGAATAAGTAAGATTTAATTACTAAGATAAATATTTATAAAAAAGTAGTAAGACTTTAGAAAGTTATATACTTAAATTAAAAGAAAAACTACGGTAAAGAATAGTATAGTATATATATAATAACATAGATAGACTCTATATTATTTTTTAATTTTTTATAGTATATTATTCTTCTCTGGGAAATATAGTTCGCTCTTATTTTTAAAAAAAAATATTTTATTTTATTTTTATATATATTCTTTTTTTACTTTCTTTTAATAAATATATATAGTTTTTTTAAAGCCTATATATCGCTTTTCTTTAAAAATATATATTTCGCTTTTTTCTTAATTTTCTTTTTTTTTAAAAGAATATATTTAACTTTTTTTTAAGAATAAAATCTCCTTTTTTCTTAGAGAATATATTTCGCTTTTTTAAAGATAAATTCTTCTTATTTTTTTAAAGAATATATTTTAAGAGTATATTTTACTTTTTTTTAAGAAATATATCTAACCCTAAGTAAAGGGGGGATTATATTTTAAAGAAAAAGAATATATTTTTTTATAAAAAAAAAGTACGGCTATTTACTAGGATATATATATTTTTTTAAGTATCTTCTAAGGTATATATATTATTTTTATAGCTATTTACTAAGATATATATTTTTTTCGTAAAATTTCTAAGATATATATAGTATTTCTAAGATATGTATATCGAAAAAGTCTCTCTAAGATATATATATTTTTATATATTTCGCTTATAAACAAATATATTATAGTATATTATAAAAAATATATATATCTTAGAGAGGCTTTTTCGATATACATATCTTAGAAATACTATATAAATCTTAAAACTATATAAAAATAATTATATATCTTAGTAAATAGCTAAAAAAAAAAAGAAAAATATACTCTTATAAAAGAAGTTTTTTTTTAAATATATATATATATATATATATATGTTCTAAAAAGAGAGAAATATATATAAAAAAAATTAAAATTTATTCTTCTTTTTTTAAAAAGTATATTAAAAAAAGAATCTATTTTTTAATAGAAAGAAGAGTATATTCTAGAAAAAGTAAAATATATTATTTAAGAAATAACTCTAAGATATATATATTTTTTTTATAATAAATTACTATATATAAACCTTAGAAAATACTCGAAATATATATATAACTTTATAAATAGCTATTTAGTTTTCTTTAAATATATGTATATATATTCTTCTTCTTATTAACGTATATTCTTCTCTTTAAATACTATATATTTTCTTTAGAAAAAATATTTTTTTAGAAAGAGAAATGGGTCTTTTTTAGTAAAAAATTAGAATATATTTTAGAAAATAATAAATATATTTTTTTAAAAATTATCTCTAAAATATATAATTTTTATAATAAACTACTATATATATATAGTAAGTATTTATAAGATATATAAATAATTTCTACTTAATATAATATTAATAAAAAATTCTTTTAAATTTAAATAATTCATATACTTTATTTTATTTTACTTTTAGATAAAATAAATAAATATCTGAATTTACAAGCTATTATATATAGCTATTTACTAAGATATATACTCGTTTAGAATATTTTTTAAGGAAATAAATATAATTTTTTTAAGAATATATTTATTTTCTTAAGGATATATTTTTTAAGAATATATTTATTTTCTTAAGGATATATTTTTTAAGAATATATTTCGCCTATTTTAAGGATTTTTTTTATTTTTTTATGAAGAATATATTCGCATTTTTTCTTAAAAAAAATAGTATTAGTATTTCGCTTTTTTAAAGATTACGTTATTAATAAAAAGCGAAATCTACTCTTTAAAAAAAAGCAAAATATATTTATAAAAAATTTTAGATGTTCCTAAGAAAAATAATTTTTCAGAAACATATATTTTTAAAATTTATTTCTAAGATACATATAATTTTTAATTTTATTTCTAGGATTTATTTTTGTAATATACTATAATATATCGAAATATATAGAAATATTTTAAAAAATTATCTCTTAGAGAGACTTTTTTAGTATATATATCTTAGAAATTATATGATAAAAAATATATATCGTAGTAAATAGCCGTATAATTTATTTTTCTAAAAATATTTTTTTCTTCTAAAATATACTTAGGTTTTTCTAAAATAAACTTAGTTTTTTAAGACATATATATATACTACTGAAGCCTCTTATAATTAAGTATATTTAGCTTTTTTTTTTAAAAAAAAAAAGTAAAATACTTACTTAGCTTTCTCGAGAGTATATTTTTAATTCTATAAGATAATATTAGCTTTTTTATTATAGAAAAATATATTTTACTATATACTAAATTTCTATAAAAAGTTAAATATACTTTAGAAATTATAGTTTATTTTATAAAAGAATAACGGCTATTTACCGAGGTATATATATTTTTTATATAATTTCTAAGATATATATAGTATTCCTAAGATATATAAATATGTTTATTATAGAGTTTTACGCTATATATATCGAGTATTTTATTACGAGAATTTTATATCTTTGAAATTAAATTCGAAAATAAATATATCTTAGTGATAATATTAAAAAAATTATATATCTTAGAGATATTATTTTTAAAATTTTTTTTCTTAACAACTCGAATATATTCTTTAGAAAAATCGAATATATTCTTAAAAAACCAAAAATTAGAAAAAACTAATAAGTATTAAGATTGTTTTTAGCTTTTATTAAGAGTATATTTCGATTTTTTAAGAATAAATTTAAGAATTTTTTAGAATTTCTTAATAATACATTTTAATTTTTTTCCTTTTTTCTTTAGAATATATTCGCTTTTTAAAGAGTATATATATTTAAAGAAATATATTTAATTTTTTTTCCTAATATATTCGATTTTTTTAGTATATACTATTTATCTTTTTAATAATATTTTTTTTTTAAAAACAATATTACTAAGATAGAAACTTATCTCTAAAAAGCGTGTATCTTAGATATCTATTCGAGAAAATATATATATCTTAGAAATTAGTTCGAAATAATTATATAAGATATATATATATTTCGATTTTTTTTTCTAAGATACACATATTTTTTATAATATACTATAATATATTTTTATTTACAAGCGAAATATATAAAGATATATATCTCTGAGAGAGACTTTTTCGATATATATATCTTAGAAATAATATAAATCTTAGAAATTTTATAAAAAAAAATATATATCTCAGTAAATAGCTGAAAGAATAAATCAACGAATATTTACTAAGATATATATATATATATATATATATCTTAGAATCTTCCGTAATATATATAATATATTATTATAAAAAATATATATCTTAGGAATAAAAATTTATAAAAAAATATATCTTAGAACTTTTTTTTAATTTTTTTTTTTACGAATATATTTCGCTTTTATTTTTATAAAAAAAATAAATACTCTTTTTTAAGAGTATTTTTACTTTTTTTAACACTATATTTCGCTTCTTTTTTTTTTGAAATAACATATTTCGCTTTTTTTTAATTCAAAAAAAATATATACACTTCTTAAAATAAAAGAATACGATCTTTTTTTTTTAAAAAAAAAGCGAAATATATTCTTTTTTCTTTTTAAAAAAAGAAGATTATACCCTTTAAAAATAAACGTAAAATATATATAAGTAAAATATATTTATAAAAAAAATAAATATATTCTTAAAAAAAGATATTCTAAAAAAATAACTTCTAAGATATGTATATTTCTACGGCTATTTACTAAGATACAAATTTTTTATCGTATAATTTCTGAGATATATATAATATTTCTAAGATACACATATCGAAAAAGTCTCTCTAAGGTATACACTTTTTTTTATATATTTCGCTTGTAAATAAATATATAATAGTATATTACGAAAACATTTATATCTCAGAAAAAAATTAAAAAATATATGTATCTTAGAAATTTGGCGAAAAAGCGTATATCTCAGAAATATATTTGAGAAATATATGTATCTTAGAAATTAGTTCGAAAAAAATTGTGTATCTCAGTAATATTTTTTTTTAAAAAAAATACAGTGCTACAAATAATAAATATACTCTTGAAACCGAATATATTCTAAAGAAAAATTAAATATACTCTTAAAAAATTCTAATATATTCTTAAAAAAAATCGAGTATATTCTTAAAAAAAAATTACATTCTTAAAAAAGCAAATATACTCTTAAAAAAGCGAAAATATACTCTTTAAAAAAAATTAGAATTTATTAAGAGTATATTTCGATTTTTTTTGAGATACACATATTTTCGAATTCATTTTCTGAAATACACATGTTTTTTTAAATACATTTCTGAGATACACATTTTTGGTAATAAAATACTGTGTATATAGCGCAAAACTCTGAGATAAACATATTTGTGTATCTCAGAAATACTATGTGTATCTCGGAAATTTTGCGGAAAAAATGTGTATCTCGGTAAATAGCCGTACTGAGATATTTTTCCTTAAATATTTCTAAAATATATATACTATAGCTATTTACTAAGAGATATAATTTTTTCGTATATTTTCTAAGATATATATAATATTCCTAAGCTATATTTATCAAAAAACTCTCTCTATAATATATATATATATATTAATTATTTCTACATATTTCGATATATTATAATATATTATAAAATTATATATCTTCGAAATAAAATCGGAAAATATTCTTAAAAAAATTCTTAAAAATAAATAGATTCTTAAAAACGAATATATATAGTCTTAAAAAATAATTATATATAGTCTTAAAAATAAATATATATAGTCTTAAAAAATAAATATATTCTTAAATAAATATATTCTTAAAAAAATAAATAAATATATTCTTTAAAAAAAATAAAGTATACTTACGAAAACTCGAATATATTCTTTAATAAAAATTAAAATATATTCTTTAAAAATTAAAATATACTACTAATATATTAGAATTATAATATTATTATCTCATTTAATTAATTTTTAAATTTTATAACTTATAACTATACGTAAATATTTAGTTTAATTAGGATCCTTATTCTAAAGCTTAAAATTATATAATTAATTCTACAGTTTAATTAGAATTTAAATTCTAAAACTTAAAACTAGATACCTAATGTTTAGTATAATTAGATAGGCGCCTAATATTAGGCTATTAATACTAGAAATTTTTCTTCTTTTTTTATTTAAAAAATTAGCTATAGAGCTATTTTCAATTAGAACTAAGTTTTTAACTATAGAAGAGGTAAGAAAATAGGCCTTATTCTATATTAACTAGTAATAAGAATTATAGAAAATAAAATATAGTAATTCGAAAACACTATACTATATTTACTATAATCTAGTAGTAAATGGCTATCTTTCTAAGATACATATCTTAAAAAAGAAAGATATATTTTTATTTTTAACTTTTTTTTTTAAAAAAAAAAGAAAATATACTCTTTTTTTTAAGAAACATTTCTCTAATTTTCGCTTTTTTTTTAGAAAAAAATTATACTAATATTTATTACACCTTTTTATTATTAAATGGCTTATAAATTTTATATACCCTTAATATACATACGAAAATTAGAGATATTTAAATTTAACTAAGTCTCTTACTTCTTATAGCTAGAAATTTATTATAGATAACCTAGTAATTCGCCTAGTATAAATTTAATTATATAAGCGAATTTTATATAGAAAAAAGGTTCTATATTAGGTAGCTTAGAGAGCTAAAGATTCTATTTCTTTAAATGTTTTAAGCGACTAAAAAGAAATAGTCTTAAAAATTTAGGCATTTTTTTTTTATTAAAAGTATATTTCATTTAAATATGCTAACTATTATTATATAGCCTTTTTTTTAAAAAAAAAAACTCGAAGAACTATAAGGAAAAGGAGAAGGCCCTACTAAATTTAAAAGAAATTTAGAAATAAAAGAATTTTAGTAAGTTAATTTTTTTAAAAAATATATATATATTAAAAAATATATATTAAAAAAAAAGCGAAAATAAGAGTATAATCTCTTTAAAAAAAAAAGAAGAAATAGAAGTATATTTTCTTTTTTTTTAAAAAAAAAAAAAACTAATATATCTAATAAATAGGTATATTTTTTTTTCTCTAGACGTATTTTTAGAGGTAGCTATAATAAATTTACGCGAGTAGATTTTATTAATACTACCTATATAAGAAATTAACTAGAAAACGCGCTTTAGTATTTTTACTAGTAATAATACTCGATTCTAATAATAATAATATTCTACGGCTATTTACTAAGATATATAGTTTTTTTCCCTATATTTTCTAAGATGTAAATATTATTTCTAAGATATATATATCGAA